CTTGCTCCAACAGTGGATTGACAAAGTGCTCAACATTTTCTTTATTATTGATGATTTTTTATATGTATACAGTGAGGGAAAAAAGTATTTGATCCCCTGCTGATTTTGTACGTTTGCCCACTGACAAAGAAATTATCAGTCTATCATTTTATTTGAACAGTGAGAGACAGAATAACAACAAAAAATCCGGAAAAACGCACGTCAAAAATGTTATAAATTGATTTGCATTTTAATGAGGGAAATAAGTATTTGACCCCCTCTCAATAAGAAAGATTTCTGGCTCCCAGGTGTCTGTTATATTGGTAACGAGCTGCGATTAGCAGCACACTCTTAAAGGGAGTGCTCCTAATCTCAGCTTGTTACCTGTATAAAAGACACCTGTCCACAGAAGCAATCAATCAATCAGATTCCAAACTCTCCACCATGGCCAAGACCAAAGAACTTTCCAAGGATGTCAGGGACAAGATTGTAGACCTACACAAGGCTGGAATGGGCTACAAGACCATTGCCAAACAGCTTGGTGAGAACGGGACAACAGTTTGTGCGATTATTCGCAAATGGAAGAAACACAAAAGAAATGTCAATCTCCCTCGGCCTGGGGCTCCATGCAAGATCTCACCTCGTGGAGTTGCAATGATCATGAGAACGGTGAGGAATCAGTCCAGAACTACACGGGAGGATCTTGTCAATGATCTCAAGGCAGCTGGGACCATAGTCACCAAGAAAACAATTGGTAACACTACGCCATGAAGGACTGAAATCCTGCAGCGCCCGCAAGGTCCCCTTGCTCAAGAAAGTAGATATACATGCCCGTCTGAAGTTTGCCAATGAACATCTGAATGATTCAGAGGATAACTGGGTGAAAGTGTTGTGGTCAGATGAAACCAAAATGGAGCTCTTTGGCATCAACTCAACTCGCCGTGTTTGGAGGAGGAGGAATGCTGCCTATGACCCCAAGAACACCATCCCCACCGTCAAACATGGAGTGGAAACATTATGCTTTGGGGGTGTTTTTCTGCTAAGGGGACAGGACAACTTCACTGCATCAAAGGGACGATGGACGGGGCCATGTACCTCCTTCCCTCAGCCAGGGCATTTAAAATGGGTCATGGATGGGTATTCCAGCATGACAATGACCCAAGACACACGGCCAAGGCAACAAAGGAGTGGCTCAAGAAGAAGCACATTAAGGTCCTGAAGTGGCCTAGCCAGTCTCCAGACCTTAATCCCATAGAAAATCTGTGGAGGGAGCTAAAAGTTCGAGTTGCCAAACGTCAGCCTCGAAACCTTAATGACTTGGAGAAGATCTGCAAAGAGGAGTGGGACAAAATCCCTCCTGAGATGTGTGCAAACCTGGTGGCCAACTACAAGAAACGTCTGACCTCTGTGATTGCCAACAAGGGTTTTTGCCACCAAGTACTAAGTCAAATACTTATTTGCAGAGGGGTCAAATACTTATTTCCCTCATTAAAATACAAATAAATTTATTACATTTTTGATATGCGTTTTTCCGGATTTTGTGTTTGTTATTCTGTCTCTCACTGTTCAAATAAACCTACCATTAAAAATTATAGACTGATTATTTCTTTGTCAGTGGGCAAACGTACAAAATCAGAAGGGGATCAAATACTTTTTTTCCTCACTGTATAACCTAGAGTTTATTGAGAACGGCATTTTTTGAGTCAACGCACAGATTGGTTTAAATAAAATACAGAGAAACAGGAAACAGATTTCAGGGCAGGAAAACAAAATAACTCAAAATAAGACAGAGAAGGTCTCAGTGTGGAAACTTTTGTCATATCGCTCTGGTGTACGTTTTTGCATAACGTTTCCTAAACACGACGCCATAGACGCCAGCTATTATACTTGCAATATTTGCTTGATACATGGTCTCTAGAGGTAAATAAACTGCAGGGTTAGCAACCTTGTGGTCTGTGAACCTGGATTGTTGTTCAGAAGGATGGTGGCACACATGAATGTAATGTCAATATTCAAAGTGTCTTTGTGAAGGGAGATCTGAGTGAAATGACAGGGGAAGAAACAGAAAACGCCAATGAGCAAAAAAACATATCTTGTAAGACAGTGAGCATTTTTTTATTAAAGTAAATATTAAAAAATTTATATAAAAATGATATCACAATACTTGTCTATGTAGAGCTGTTATCATTGTAGTTGTTGCTATTTTTAAACACATACGATAAGTGGAATACAGTCATTGCATTCGGGAAAACGTTGTTGTGGCATATGGTCATTTCCTCCCGTAAATTCTGATGGCCTGAATGAAGTTTGCAGCAAAAGAATGATCACCTGCCTTTTTTGTCTAAAAAGTAATAAATCCAGTCCAAAAGACCCCACTGCCTAGGAGCATGAATAATTTAAAGACAAATAGTACCCGTGCAAAACTGTCAGCCACGCTGTAAAAAAATGCACATTGGCAATTTTCTGGTCACTGTAATAGATCTTGTTATAAATTACTGCCTCTTCTTGAAACTGAAACAGCATTCGGCATTTCATACCCTGCCTTTAGCAGTGCAGGTTTTTCTTTTTTACATTTTCCCACGACGGGCGCAGTGGCTGTGACTCTTAACAATTTAGAAGCAGGGTGATTAAACGTGCCCACGATTCGCTCACATTTTGCACACCTGACGGGGACATCCGCAAAACTTCCGTAATGTCTTCACACTTTACCCTCTTCGATCACGCACCCCATCTGGAATGCCTTGAGATACGCGTGGGAACTAAGGCTGCCACCTGGCCTGGTTTTTCCCCTGGATTGTCGTTTTTTCTTGTTGTTGAGGGAGCTGTCCAGGAAAATCTTTAAGTCTTCCCAAGACATTACAAGTCCCGTTTTTTTTAATCAGTTTCGTAATACAACACCACTCAAGGCAATGCATGCACGGTGTAGTTCACTGGACTTCTGGTATTTTTATTGATATTCTTTTTCCCATGTACCTCATAGTTGGCAACCCGAGTAGCAATGGCCAAAATTGACCTGTGGTTATGCCGTTGTCTTTAATAAAGAAGCAACCCAAAGATAGACAAAAACATACCAAGGCTGTGTGTCTTGGGACTATTCCACACGAGACTGAAGCTTTGTTCATCGGTCTCGGGATGGTGCGTCATTTTGGCACCCCAGAGATGTCACTGCGATGACATTCTTATATTGAACCACAAAGTTAAAGTGGTATTTTTTCACGAACAAAGCTCAAAGCTTACGTTGTGAACAGCGAGGTATGAATCAACAAGATGAGAGTTGTTTTGTGAGTTGTGTTCACCTCTGCAGGGAGTCAGCACACTGTAGACAAATGTCAGCTGCGATTGAGACCTCCAATCGGATTTTTGCACCCACTGGGATTTTTGCACACAGCGTTGGTGTACGGTGCTATTTCAGGAATATTTTGATGTTTTTTTTTCCTGGATTTTCTGTTTGCACAGTCACATAATCACTTTAAGATGTTTTCTTGTTCATGTTTTTGTTTGTTGCGGTTGCAACCGATTCAAGAGCCGAATGGCTCACAGGGCTATACCAAATAAATGAACTAAATGAACTATGGAACTTCACCAGGACCAACTGAGCGCCATGTGCAGCTTCCGAGTGGAAACTGCACAACCCTGCTCTCTTTAGCTATCTCCGTGTTTCTGTCTCTCTGTGTCTGTGTGTGTGTCTCTCTCTCTGTGTTTGAGTCTCTATCTCTGTGTGTATAACTCTCTGGCTCTTCCACAAACTGCTCGGGGCCCTGCTTAATACTGAGTTTACTCTGAGCACAACTTCCCAGGCCCCCGTATAGGCCGTGGGTTCCAAAGAATAAGAATATGTATTTCTTCTGGAGGAACCCGATAAGCTATCAAGTTCTTTTTCATAGATGTACAGTAGGAGCAAGTCAGAACGTTACAACAGCAAATAATACAAAACACATTAGGATCGCAAATTATTGGAAAGAAAAACAAATCACTTTAAAAATATATACAAATGTTTACTCTTTGGTTCTATTCGGTAAAGTCACGTAAAAGTATAAAACAACTAAAAATAAAAATACAAAAATAAAAAATTCACGACGTTTCGGCCACAACACAAGTGGCCTTCATCAGGTGAAGGGACCAGACTGTCTCGAGGACAGCGCTGGAGTGAACACAGCTAAGCTCAGACCGCGACCTTTAAGCTGTGTGAGAGGAATTAAGGTGCCTTGACAAAGGAATTAGCATAAAATTTTGCATTTAATTGGCGGACTTAGCATGATGAACGGTGTAGAGGGGGTGAACATGTGCAGGTCGGCGAGGGGGGGAGGAGAGTTTACATATTGATGGTGTCAAAAGGGAATTTAAGCAGCTGCGAAAGTTTGGGATACCACTACTTGAAAAAACATACTGTATCATTGAAAATTAGTTTAAGTTTTGTAGTTTAGTTTTGTTGTTTTATACTTTTACGTGACTTTACCGAATAGAACCAAAGAGTATGGATCCTTGCAGTCACGAAAGTTTCAAATCTAAATACAAATTTTTGTGTAAGTGTGTGTCTCTCTCTATGTGTCTCTCTGTGTCTCTCTCTGCTCATGTGTATGTCTATGTGTCTCCATTATCTGTGTTTTGTCTCTCTCTCAAATATAGCAATCTTTGGAAGAACTAATCAACCAGGTAGGGTGTTTAGCTGTTGACTGTTGTGTTAGCCGACTCTTTGTGTTGCATTGCATTATATTTCTAAGTTTACTATGTTTATTTTCTCATTCATTCTTATCTGACGATGGCTGTTTGTGTTGCAATCGAAACGTCGTATTCTATTATTATTTGATATCTTTTGTTTCTACGTGACTTTACCGAAAGAACCAAAGAGTAAAGCTATAATATTTATTTTTTTATATATATAGTACTCGGTAAGGCCCACTGAGGCATTAGCTTTTAGTTTCAGAAGCGAGCTGCTCACAAATGATAGCCCAACGAAGTGTTGCCAATGATAATTCGCCCAGCACCGCTCAACACAAACGCGGGTGTCTCATCCATCACAGGGGAGCAAGGAACACTACCACTGGACGAGTGGCAATGTGAAGCACAGCGGTGTGGACGACATGGTGCTGCTCTCCAAGGTCACGGAAGATGCCATCGTGGAAAACCTCAAGAAGCGCCTGATGGACGACTGGATTTTCGTATCCTGCCGAATGGCCCGCTTTACGCACGGGCACGGAGCGTCCCTGGCAGCCCCCCCTTGCAGTGTGGCTGATGATGATTTGGGCGGTATTGGTAATGGCAATGATGACGAAGATGACACTGACAGTAACGATGAGGAATAATGACCGTGATGACGATGATCGTGGCCATGATGATGGTGATGACTCTGCAGCGTGACTATTGATTGAAAGGGGGCACACACAAAACTCAAGGAGAGATATAACACAGCCAATCTTAAACCAATTTTAAACGAAATCCTAAACGCTGAACAGAATTAGTCATCGTCTGTCTTTGTCAATTATGCAATTTGTCACGCGTTCTAACCTCCAATCTTTGTTTACTACTGAGGGAGGGCTGGGCCTTCAGCAGCCTCCAGCCTCCGTGATGCTATGCGGCCGGCCCTTAATCACGTCACTACTACATCTCTCACTGCAGATTAAGTAACTTTTTATAAATATGATTAAACAAAAATTGGACACGACACTTCCTTTTGTAAGTAAAATAAATGCAATGTTGGGAGTGACTAGCTCGACGGCTAGTTCTCTATCAGCTGTTTGGAGGGAAGCGGAAAAGGAACGGTGGTGTAAGACGTTGGCGTGCTTCTTACCCAACTCCCGGCCTTAGTGCACGACGTCGCAAAACTCAAATAGCCGATTGGTGTTATGGAGCGGTGACATGGTCCAGTGATAGCCCATTCACCGCTTGTTTGTGGAGTTTCACGGTTCGAGCCCATCAGCCCGCCCTGGTTACTACTGCGGGTGAAAGACCCCGTGGCATTATTACCAACAACAGAAAAGTTGGCCGGTGCGTGCCGGCGTCATGGCCAACATTTGGAAAATGTAATACTTGCAAATTACTTTAAATGGGATCGTACATAGTGACGCTGTATGACCACTCACCGGGTGTTACCTGCCACAGGGTGTTCTCTGACGCAGGGCACCACGAGATGTGCTGCATGAGAGTCGTGGTATATTTAGTGATGATGAGTATGCAAAACATGCAGAAACCTTTAACTTTCATATACTGCTGCAGACATACATTGGGCCGGTGCTGATCTCAGTGAATCCCTTCAAGCAGATGCCGTACTTCACCGACCGCGAGATTGACATCTACCAGGGTGCTGTGAGTCCTTTTGTCTCTCTATCAATTTGTTTATTTGGAGTTGGTGTTCAAGCCACTTCCGAGTGAAATACAATTTTAACGAGGACTGGTGCTGCTCAGCGCGCGTTGGTGCAGAGGTAAGTTTAAAAGTGCGTAGCTCCAGTGGCTTCCTAATATCGGAAGGAAGAGCGTTCCAGACGGCCGCAGAAGTCCATCGGAAAGCGCGTTCGATGCAGTGACCATCTTTATTCGATGGCTAGCCAGAAGCCGCTGTGAGGATGACCGGAGTTCACGTGATGATGTATGCTCCTTGACGAGATCAGCAAGGTATTCTGGTCCTTGACGAGATCAGCGAGGTATTCTGGTTCATTTGTGGCAAGCACTTTGTGTGAAATGAGTGCTACCTTGTAATGTCTAGAGAATTACACTCTGGTCTCTGGGTTCAGAGTGTACCACGGGAACTGATCTTCCACAACCAGGACATTCAAATAACAATATTCCATTATGAGCAATGCCTAGTCTGTGACCAACACTCACGCAACATATGTATGTTGAACTGCTTTTGCACCGTACATAGCCAACCGTGCCAATCGACCACTCAACCCTGAATTTCGTTCTTGTGCCTTTCCCCTGTTCAGGCCCAGTTTGAGAATCCACCCCACATTTACGCACTGTCTGACTTCATGTACAGGAACATGCTTATCGACTCTGAGAACCAATGCGTCATCATCAGGTGAGAAAAGCACATTTTAGATTTTCAATTTTGCATGTATGTATGTTGGACTTCTTTCGCAATGCACGTAGCCAACCGTGCAATGTGCAACAACATATTCTCGTATGTTGTGCATATTGTCCACATTGTTGTACACATAGGCTTTCATGACCAATACCATTATTCGTAAATCGTTTCTTGGATTAGATCAGGGGTGTCCAAACTTTTTTTCCCGAGGGCCACATAGAGAAAAAATATACGAAGGACTGGGCCACTCACTATAGGTGGGTCATACTGCCTCACTTCTCATGCACTAATATTGGCAAAATCAATCAAATTCAGGTAAATTACGTTTGATAATTGAACATGTTTGAAGAAAAAAGCCTCCATCATAGCTCTCCATTAGTAGATTTTCATTTTATTTTTTACAAAAAGGTTGGCAGGTCATTCTCTCAGTGACAGCCTCAGATTGGTTCTTAGGGTGCTGATCCCCCTTCCTTGTCCTGTATGAAGGGAGAGACAAGAAGAGAAATAGGGGATGTGGATATTTCAAGCTTATTACACAAATAAATTATTGGGCTTGTTAACACATAAACTAACGTTTGTTAAAAAATTGTCATCAACTTTAATTGACTGAATTTATTAAGTAATTGGGCTTATTAGCAAATGAAAACGGTGTGTATATTTTTAACTCACCTGCAATGGGAAGAATGTTGCGCTCAGTGGGAGCAGTGATGCTGCGCTTTGGTCTGAAGGATAGCTGGCAGGTCAGGAGTAAGTTTGGTGGTTGAGATGCGAAGGACGTCACGGAGATGGCTGTCGGTCGTTCTGGTTCTCAGCCTGCTTTTGTTCAGCGTTAACAGAGAGAATGTCTGCTCACAGATGTATGTTGAGCCGAACAGACTCAACATTTGTTTTGCGTGGCGTCTCATCAGAGGAAACTTGGCCTTTTCCAAGCTCCGGTAGAAGTCAGGTAGGGAGAGAAGCTGATGCTGAGTCTTCAGAGAATCATCACACTGAATTTCGATCAGTTCTAATTGCAGACTCTCCTCCACTTCTTTTGCATCCATTGAAAACGGAGCCGCAAATAGTGTGATTTCCTTCTCAATGACAGAAAAATCTTGGAAGCGCTGACTGAATTCTGTCATGAGAGATGTGATCACAGACACATATTCTCCCATTTTTGCAGAGAGCTTGGCATTTGGAAATGCGCATTTGATTTTGGTCAGCGTGGGGAAGTGCGCTACATTGAAGTTGCGCAGTTGTGACTCGAAGAGACGGAGCTTCGCACGGAATGCTTTCATGTGCGCATACAGCTGTGGTACCAGCTGCTCTTTGCCTTGTAGTCTCTTGTTCAGGGTGTTGAGATGTTCAGTGAGATCAACTAAAAAAGCCAGGTCTGCCAACCATAAAGGGTCACTGATCTCATGGAGAGGTCTGCCCTTTTCTTTCAAAAACTTGTCGATATTTGATCTAAGGGAATAAAACCGCTGCAGCACGGAGCCGCGACTAAGCCAGCGCACTTGAGAATGGTAGAGTAGGTCCCCGTATTCAGCATCGACATCAGAGAGGAACGCTTGAAATTCTCTGTGGTAAAGCCCTCGTGCCCGAATTATGCTGACAGTTTTCACAACTGTGTTCATCACATCGCCAAGCTGGATTATCTTGGCACAGAGGGCTTCTTGGTGGATGACACAGTGCATTTTGACAGCCTCACCTCCGCTCTCCCGCACCTTGGCACTCACCATAGAGGCCATTCCTTTGCGCTCGCCTGTCATTGCTGGAGCCCCATCCGTTGTAATTCCACACAGCTTGTCCCATTTCAGTCCAGCCTGGTCAATTGCATCTGACACAGCTATTAAACATGTCCTTCCCAGTTGTTGTCCCCTTTAGACTCTGAAGATCGAGCAGTTCCTCCATAAAGCAAAAAATTATCATCAACTCCCCGCAAAAAAATTAACAGCTGTGCAGTGCCCGTGGCATCTGTGCTCTCATCACATGCAATCGAGTAAAAATCGAAAGCACAAGCTTTAGCTGACACTTGCTGTTTTAAGTTCGCCGACAAGTCTTCAATTCGCCGCACAACCGTATTTCTGGACATACTAACATCGTTGAAATCCTGCATTTTTTCCGGGCACATTATTCCCACGACTGTTAGTGAGGCACTGTTTGATGAAGTCACCGTCTGAGAAAGGTTTCCCGTGTAGGGCAATGAGTCGAGCTACTTCATAACTGGCTATTGTTGCATTTTCTTGAGCTTTGTTAGCACGGAAAAAAAACCTGCTTCTGCGTTAGCAGGCTAGCTGCCATTTGCTTTACCTTCTCTCTCCGCTCGGCGCCAGTGTAGAACGTGAAGGTCTGATGTTTGGTTTCATAATGCCGTCGTACATTGTACTCTTTCATCACGGCAACACTCTCATTACAAATCAAACAAACACACTTCCCCTTGGTTTCTATGAAAAATATTGATTTTTCCACCGAGTCTGAAATTTTCTGCACTCGCTTGCAATCTTGCGTCTCTTCGGTTCCGGCATTTCTGGTGACCCTGAGCAAATTTTTTTTCTCTGATTGCTTGCTTTGTGGAGACGCTGCCTTCTTCAAGACAATAGCGCCACCTAGCAGTTGGCCCGCGGGCCGTAGTTTGGACACCCCTGGGATTAGATCGTGTGTGCTTAACGTCAGTAGAGCTGTTGCACCCTCCACCACCCGACACGGACAAACAATTCAAGTTGTCACGTGAGGCAAATACAGTAGAAAGATTGATTTTGTCAACGTGACATCTTGATTTGTTTGGCTATGTCGGGTGGTAGAGGGTTATTATAGGCAGTGCCAGAAATGTGAAGAAGTTATGACTGGAACAATCCATAAATAACCCCCCCCCGCCCTAGTTTTGAGCGCAAGGGAGGGGTGGTGGTGGTGGTGGACCGCAGAACTGACTAATACAATCACATGTTTTTGTTTTGCCTGTTTCAGCATCTTCATTCAAATAAGAATAATAATTATGTATAATCACAAACTCTTTGTATATTTCGGAGATCCACAGCGTGACCTACAGCCATTACCTACTGATATAGTAGCTATATAGATCTAAACTAAATTCTTTATTTTACCAGGTATGGCCCACTGAACTCTATAGCTCTTTTTCGGAAGCGACCTACAGCCATTACCTACTGATATAGTAGCTATATAGATCTAAACTAAATTCTTTATTTTACCAGGTATGGCCCACTGAACTCTATAGCTCTTTTTCGGAAGCGACCTGGCCACAAAAATGATACATCAGCGAAGTGGCTTATCATGTGTAAATGGATATCAGCCAAATACTCTTCATGCATATTTCTAAATGTGGAGGAAAAAAACCGAACGACCTGGAGAAAAATCCACACGACCACGGGGAGACCATGCAAACTCCAAAAATACAGTTGTTAAGGTTGGGATCGAACCAACGACCTCCTGTATACCAGGCGAGATAGTTAACATCTCGCCAACGTGGCAAAATAAAAAAAAGTTTAGTTGATATATCGAGACTGCCCAGCACTCCACTTGTCGCTGGTCCCATTTCCACCACTGGACTGCCACAGGTGGCAACCCTACATCCAGCCGGTGCATACGGCGATAAACTTGAGATTTTTCTCTGATGGCCTGCAATCCGACGCTGACCCGTGAGTTGCACTTTGTGTGTTGCGGCAGTGGGGAGAGTGGCGCAGGCAAAACGGTGGCCGCCAAGTACATTATGAGCTACGTCTCCAAGGTGTCCGGCGGCGGAGACAAGGTGCAGGTAAGACGTGTGGAGCTGACCTCGCGCACTGGGAACACTTCGAGCGAGCTTCCACGTCCTCCATGAATTGCACGTCGGTTGCAATCGTGGACAAAATCAGTGTTGTCGTAAGCCGGGTGTTGCGATGTCAACGCCTGTAAGCTTTAACTTTGGGAGACAAAACGTTGGTTAATCGATCACAGTAAGCCGCTTTTCACTTTTTTGGAGCTACACTCTTGTTCGCTCAAGATGTCCCTCCCACGGCTTGAGCTGCGCCAAAAAAATATATAAATCGGCGTCGCCAGTTAGCGGGCATCTGCAGCACACAAATCCGTGACCTTGTGACGCCACGTGCTCATTAGCATACGGGCGGACTCGGGTTTCCCTGCGGTGGTAGCGCAGAACGAGGCCACGCGTGTTCCACGTTATTTTTGTTTGAGCGCGCGCGATCCCGCCGCTGTACGCGTTTGCCGCAAATTCCCCAAGAAATGCGCTGCATTCTAGAGCGCTGATAATATAGTGTAAGAAGTTTTTTTTTTATTGCACCACAATGCGTGCATTTAAAGTAAAACAAAAATATTCTTAACATTGGACATTACGTGTACAGTGTGCGCATTGTCACGGGTGTTGCACAATTGAATCATAATTAATGCAGTCGCGCAATTATGTGATGTAATTAAATCGATGCACGTATCATTAATTTGAGAATGTTAATTGCTGTGTCGATGTATCATTAAGCCCTTAGCTATCCCCTCGTATGCGTGTGTAGGTTTTCTCCTGGTAGACTGGTTTTCTGCCACGGCAGAACACTGCTGAAATAGAATTCACCAAACAAACTTTCACAGGAACCTCCCGAAACGGAGTCACGAGACTCAGTGAGGTGTTCTTAATAAATAGATAAAATGGAAATGTCAAGGTTGTTACAGTCTTCATAACAAGATATGTTATGAGCATCCGACCTGAATCAAAATCAGAAAATATTTATTTCGACTGGAGGAATCCTATGAGCTATAAAGCTCATTTTCACAAATGTCCAGTAGAGGCAGGTCAGAACGTTACAACAAACACCACCAGCAGATTAACACGTAGGCTTTCGCGACCAATATCATCCATAATAGAGGTTTTTTTGGGGGTTAGATCGCATAAAAATAAATATAAATGTGTCTTTAAAACCCGCCACCACCCGACACAGCCAACTAGTAAGGGTTGTCACGTAAACAGAACATGCCAATTTGTCACTAGTACAGCACACCGGTGTGTTGGAGAGCCAAGCACACAATATTTACAATCTCTCTCCTGCACCTCTGACAGCACGTCAAGGACATCATCCTGCAGTCGAACCCGCTGCTGGAAGCCTTCGGCAATGCCAAGACGGTCCGCAACAACAACTCGAGTCGCTTCGTGAGTGGACAGCACTCGCATGGGTTTCGTGGTCAATTGGGGAGTCAAAGGCGGCTGGGCGAGGTGCTGGGCAACACCGCCTTCCTTAATGCGTCATCCCGACGTGTGCAGCAATGTGTGTTTCTTAGCATTTAGAACTCTGCACGGATGTACATCAGAGCCCTGAATTGAGTCAGGTAACCTGTGGATACCTGGAGGGTTACCCCCGTACCTAGCTCGATGCAGTACTTTAAGATACATTTTTTATTTAATCAGCATTTACGTATTTTTATTCATTGTTTATAGAGAAAAAAACATTTAAATGACTAAATAAATTCCACGTGCTAAGACTTGACTACAATTCCACAGGTTGTCGTCGACTACACTAAGAAAACAAAAACTAAAATTCTGACTACATTTATACTGGTGTGAAATTAGTTAGCCCATACCACGTGGGTGTGTCCTGTGACCTCCTTCCATGTGTTCCCACGTGTTCTCAATGTACACCTAACCTGGCACAAATGCTGTGGTGACATCATCGCAACGCGAGTGGTGAATGGCGGCTGTTGTTTGAGCGGTGGCATAGTGCTGATGAACCCAGATAGCCTCATGTTTGATTCCCAGCCATGGCCAACATCAGTGGCCCGTGGTATGTGAATCGGTCCTATGCCTCCCCTGGGTCGACTCAACCTTAAATTTCGAGTTCCTGGTGCAGTGTGTAAACATCAACACCGGAGGAGGGGGGGAGGAAGGAGGCTGGGTTATGGTGCTGGCAACACCGACTCCTTATGCAACATTACGGCTGGCTCACAGCACTGTCCCCAACAGTCAATTGGGAATTTTTTTTGTGGGATGAGAAATTAAATGACATAATTCTTGTTTTTGCGCAGCACTTAAGAGGATGTGTCGTCAGCATCTTGTGGTAGGTTGGCCAAGTCTAAACTGAGCGTCTGGTGTGTGTGCATCACTACCACTGGAAAACAATGGCACGTGTCTCTCTCTCTCGACAGGGCAAGTATTTTGAGATTCAGTTCAGCCGAGGAGGGGAGCCAGATGGCGGAAATATCTCAAACTTCCTTCTCGAGAAGTCACGTGTCGTGAGCCAAAACACAGAAGAGAGAAACTTCCACATTTACTACCAGGTCTCTCTCCGTGCACAGCCTCCAACCAACATCGCTTAATTCCCCCCACACTTTCCACAACATGCTTATTAATCTGAAGTTATAATTGAAGACGAAATTGTGCTTGCAGGTGGATCATCATTGGAGCGGTTTGAAACTTTGCTCTCACTGTATTCCATCCTGTCCATGTCATAATTCCTTGTATATGTGTCTGTGTTTTTACAAATCTTATTCCAACCGTACCAGTGGTGCATAATGTGCAGTATTATGTATTTATTAAAACAAAAAAAACTAGTTAGCCTGTGGCCCCAAAGGTATTTTACTTCCTACGACTGCACGTATTTGATTCTTCTGTGCTTTCATTACATTAACGAAGGAGACATCACAGCGATACACTCCGCTGCTCCTGACGCGGTTATCTGCCATGACCACCCGAGCGCAACATTCTCATTGTTGCTCTGCAATCTACATCAGCAGCCATACGAAAGAAGAATAAAAATGTAACCTTAACATGGACGGTCAACCTCTGTAGGCCCCGCCCCATCTTTAGGCCCCACCTCTCTTGGTTAGGCCCCGCCCCTTCTTCTTTAGGCCCCGCTCCTTGATCTGGACAACGATTTGGGCTCGTGGTGGGGTAGATTGAAAACTGACATCTCGTTTGATAACTAATTTCTTTAGAACTGCTGTGTTTAGTTTGTTGCCTTTCCCCCGCACCTCCGATGAGCACGGTTGGCTACGTGCGGTGCGAAAGACGTTCAACGGGCATACGTACACGCACAGTGGTGGTGGTGGGCAGAGACAGGAGGCAGGGGTGGGGCGGATACAAGACAACCAACATCCCTCTTAGAGCAGCAATATTTATTATATACACTATCATATGTGTAGTGGATTCAACTGAGTCGCAGACGTACTCTTTGGAGGCAACACATGCATTAATACCAACACACTTAACACAAAGGGGTAACTGCCCCTTTACCAGGTAACATCCTATGGTGGTGGACCACCAGGCTAATTACACCCTATGTTGGTGGACCACCAGGCTAACTACACACTATGGTGGTGGACCACCAGGCTAAGTACTCTAATTACACTGGGAGTAGCCACAACGGACCGGACCCCGGCTTGGGTCCAGGTCCACGTGTTGGTGACTTCTTCTTGGACGTAGAACGTAGATCTTCAGATGACAACAGCAACGCTGAACCCGGTCCCTCTCGGGGACCCGGTTTATATGCTCGCTGGCCGTGGCCGGCTCCGCCCTTGGCCACGACCACCTTCCCCGAACCCTCTCGCAGGATCTCGCCCCGGCATGTGACCACCCCCAGCTCCACTTGGGGCCCCCTGTGTAGATCTTACTCGTCGCGTGTCTTCTAGGGTCAACCAGAGTGCCATGGCCTGGGGTAACCTCATCCCGTGGCTGACACTCTCACACTCCATCCTGTAGGAGTCAGCACTGCACGCCAAGCGTGGTGCCACTGAGCGCTATGACCCAGCGCTCACAGAGCCCCCACTAGGGCTGGTACTACACCCACACATACGGGGTGTCCGCTATGGTAATACATCGCACGCCGTGCCTCAAAAGAAGCCGGCATTACCCAGTGACATCCACGATGTCGCTACATATGTATTACTACATACACTTTATATTATATGCAACGGAAATAGGAGACAATCCTGTGCTCGGGAGCACTAAAAGTAATCAGCTGTTTTGTACATTATAAAATGCCAGGGTACTATGTATTGTGAGTATTTTTTTTTTACATTCTCAAAGATTTAAAGAACATTATGGAGAAATAATTACATTCACAGGAGCATAAATTCAAAAATTATAGCAATTTTAAATGTATCCGTGTCAATATTTTGTATTCGTTACTCCTGCCTCTTCGATGTCTCTATTAAATGTCTTCCAAACGTCTTCTGCCGATTAATTGAAATTAAATGTTTATTTGTTACACGGAAAATTCCGTGTTTCCTTGGCAACGCCCCGCAGCTACTAACAACATAATTATCATTGGGGTGGAGAGGAGCCCAGCCAGAAGCCAGCCAGGAACTTAAGGCATAGATTATTTTTAAATGTACCTGTAGTATTCTTTTTTGTAAAAGGGAAGTGTTAATACGGGAAGTCTTTTTTTTTGTTATTCATGCTTGTGCACCAAAGCCAGCAGAGTTCCTTATTCCTGCGTTTGCGCGAGAGTTAATAATGAGAGATTCAATAAAACTGAGATGAGAAGACCTCACTGCAATAAATACTTCATGTCCCTGCCCTTCCTTTTGCTCACACAGCTCTTGACTGGAAGCTCTGGGACGCAGAAGGAGAACCTGGGAATCTCTACGCCAGATTACTACTTCTACTTGAACCAAACTGGCACTTATGTTGTGGATGACACTGACGACAACAAGGACTTCCAGGAGACCATGGTACAAGGGGTGACTCGTACAGACAAAGGGTCGCTGTTTCCCCACTTACATTCCACGTTACATTAAGTCGACAAACGTAATTAACATTTGTCACGTGACAATCTTACAGATGTGTTTCATTATCACAGCTGTGATGTGAGTGAGCACTCACCAAACCGTGAATAAAAGGCAATTTATTTTTGTATGATTTTTTTTGACGCAGTCATTCAATGTGTGGGCTCACACCATTGACTTGTCACACTTGCGATTGTAGATTACTGCTCGGACTTAACCACCCACAACATCTTAGACAACAATCCTGGTGTTTTTTTGGTGCATTTTTCTCCCTTCAACAAGATGGCAAATTTTGATTATGCCGATGGCGGAACCCTTCATGACACAGTCACGCACGAGCAGTTAGGTTCAGTACTGAGTAGTCGCCAGAAGTTGCGTAATGCATGTTTAATTGGGTGTATCTGTTCTACGACCAGCGTGGCAACACTTATTAATGAGAGCAGTACCAACGGAGTCATAGGTAGACGTTTTGGTGCTCAGGACAAGGTGCCCCATCCTCAGACTTCCCCACCAAAAAGTGAGTCATCAGTATCCACTGCTTGCTTGTTTCCAACAGTTCCATCACCCATACAGGCAGCGCTTCCCCCCCTCCTCCCACTTGGATGGGGGCCCTGGGCAACCAACTTGCCGGCCCCCACCACTCTGCCTACCGCGTTCCTCCTATGACACTGATGAATAAATTACGAGTAACTACATCTGCAATGTAACCAATAACCACTGGGTATCATTCGCTTGCAGCCCCCCCCCCCACAACTTCCAGAGTGTGGCTGTGCCTCTGACCCAGAGCCACGGGCCAACCTGGCTTTTGAAATGTTTTTGGGCGCCAGGCTGCGATGCAGGTGATCGGCATTCTCCCCGACGAGCAAGCCATGGTGTTGCAGATCGTGGCCGGGATTCTTCACCTGGGCAACATCTCCTTCATGGAGCAGGGCAACTACGCTGCCGTGGAGAGCCTGGACTGTGAGAGCACCTCCGCCCACACGCACGCCCCTGGCAGCAGAGGGACCCGCAACGCTTAGGACGCGCAACAACCCCTCCCTTGCATGTTCGCTCGGCGCCTAAACCGGAATGCTGCTGTGGTGTAACAGTGCACTGGTCTTGGGATCCAGAGGTCGCCGGTTCGGTTCCATCTCCCTGTGTGACGGAGTATTTGGCTGCTATACATTTCCACATGATTAGCCACTTTGTTGCGGAAGCATTCGTGGGCAGGTAGCATCTGAAAAAGAAGCAAAATAGCTCAGTGGGCTTTACCTCGTAAGATAAAAAGAATAGTTAGATTTTATTTGAGTATTATTGTTAAGTGATGTCTTTACCTTTCCTATACTTTGCACTTCGATCGTGTTTTCGTAGTGCTTGCTGTGTTTCAATGTTCTGACCCGCCCCTACTGGACATCTGTGAGCTTTATAGCTCATCGGATTCCTCCAATATAAATTAATATTCTGAGTCTGTTGAAATGATCGTGCAAGTTTCTTAAATCCCACCTGCCTCTGTACACGAAGCAGTATATATGGGCACACTACAAATGTGGTGTGCCCATTCATACGTGTGGTGGGGTCAAGTGTGGGTACTCGCACCTCTGCCAAGACGTTTTGCAGCTTCATAGAGTAATTACAACTAATTACAACCCAAATAACCTATATTACGGATGATATTGGTCGCGAAAGCCTACGTGTTAAACAAATCCATTGCTGAAAATGTACTTCCATGCTGGCACGGCGCCTATGCTCCCCGCCCCCACCAATACGCAGCGACTAACACGGTGAAGTGTGGTCAAATGAACCCCACGATCGGGGCACGGCGTGGGGGAGGGCCTTCATCCAGCTATGCGTGTTTCAGACCTGGCATTCCCAGCCCACCTGCTGGGCATCGAGCAGGACCGGCTCATGGAGAAGCTGACAAGCCGCACTATGGACAGCAAATGGGGCGGCAAGTCTGAATCCATCACGGTGACGCTCAACACGGAGCAGGCGGCCTACACGCGCGACGCGCTGGCCAAGGCCCTGCACTCTCGCCTCTTCGACTTTCTCGTGCAGGTGACCTGCCCGCCTGTCCCACCTGTTCACTGATCAAATTGCCTGCTTGCTTGTCCACCTATTTACCGGTTAAATTGTTCAGTCTGCTGGCCCATCCGTTCAATGATAAGACGACCTGTCCATCACAGCCGCCTGTTCCCACGTCGCATGATCTGTCTGCCCATCCGCTAGTTCAACAGTTACCTGACCTGTCTGACTGTCCACCTGTTTACCGGTCACATCAACTGTCTGCCCACATATCAACGCACCTGTCAGATGACCTGTCTACCCGTCTACCCACACACCTTTCAGATTACATGTCGACCTATCTACTCACAAACCTGTCAAACTACCTATCTACCCGTTTACTCGCACACGTGTTGTATGTACGTGTATGTCCGTTGAACTTCTTTCGCACCGTACGTAGCCAACCGTGCTAAGTGGAGGTACGGAGACAAGGGAAACAAACTGTCTGTTGGCGAGCGTCCCTGCCTGCCCGCCTTGTCTAATGTGCTGCAGGAAATTAACAAGGCGATTAGGAAGGAGAGGGAAGAATACAACATTGGGGTGCTGGATATCTATGGCTTCGAAATCTTTCAGGTACAAACATCTGACACCTATTCAACACAACGTGCATGGGATTACTGTTGCAATGATGATGGTCTACATTCGCTGAGTGTCAATACGTTGTCCAGCTGACAGCTGATTATTAAAATCCAACACCGTCTGTAAATGATGACGACAATTCAGTAAAACGGGAACTTTAATTGGTGGTCTGGACAAGGCTGAGAGCTGTGTACGCGCAATGTGGTGGTCGCAAGACTTGCATGCAAGGCGTCGTTTCTGCCTGCTGTTTGAGAGTAGCACAGCTTTGCGTGTTGTTATTAAGATCTGCATATAAAGCAGGGGATAGCGGTGAGTAAATAACAAGGCAGCCGTGAAAGACAGTTTGGGACATTTCTTCTGCTGTTTCTTAATGACCTTTGTGGCGTTTCTTGTTAGTTTGACCGATGAAGAGCAAATAAAAACACTTAAAAGCTCATTCATCAATACATGTCTCATCTATGCCTGGTGTGTGCTGCAGAAAAATGGTTTTGAGCAGTTCTGCATCAACTTTGTGAATGAGAAACTGCAACAGATTTTCATCGAGCTCACACTCAAGGCAGAACAGGTGAGCCATCGACACTACCACTTTACAAACTCCAGTCTCTGGAGGATTACAAATAAATCCATCCCAGGATTTCTCACCAGCTGTAATGCTTCATCGACGACATGTACTTACTGGTTGGACCAGAATTAGTCTGTAAGAAATCCCGTTTAATATTTAATTTCTTAACCACATTGGAGAACGCTTTTTCACTGGTACGCTTGACCAGCTCAGGATTATAACGTACCCCTCCACGTCAACCGATCTGCCACAGCTGTGGAAGCGCCATCAATAGAAGCTGCAGGATTTCTCTCGAACTGCCACAGCAGCAGCTGGTTCCGTGTGGCTGCCCCAGGTCTTGTGCCATGTCAAATAGCAATACAGAAGTGTCGCAGAAGCCAGGATTAAAACACATTATCTTAGCAGTACTGGTTCAGTTATCGCTACCATTACATTACGACAATTTGTATTCATACGGCATCCAAATACAACTGCAGCTCAAGGTTCTGCACCTCTAAACAGTGTGGCACGCATATCCTGTATACGTCAGCACAGCATGAATTCCCTTGGCCACACAATCTCTGACAAGGGTGATCATTGTTGTCGCCCGCTAAGCCCCGTCTATTATCCATTTTGCAAGCTGCATGGTGTGCTGATGAGCGGCTGAATCTGCAGAGGTAGCGAGAGCTTTGCTGCGTGCATTGCATTTGTCGGGTATGTATTTTCACGGTGGCGAGGTGGTAACTATCTCGCCTGGTATACAGGAGGCCATGGGTTCGATCCCGACCCTGACGCCTGTATATTTGGAGTTTGCATGTTCTCCCTGTGGTCGCGCGGATTTTTCTCCAGGTCCTCCGGTTTTTCCCTCCACATATAGAACCATACGTTTACCGTATTTGATTGCTATAAATTTTTACATGATAAGTCACTTCGCTGAGCCATCATTTGTGGCCAGGTTGCTTCTAAAAAAGAGCTATATAGCTCAGTGGGTCTTGCCTGGTAAAAAAAAACAATTACAGCAAATGGTTCTTAAGGATTCGCGTATCGCTCTCAACTGCTCTCCCTGCAGGAAGAGTACGTACAGGAAGGCATCAAGTGGACACCCATTGAATACTTCAACAACAAAATCGTCTGTGACCTCATCGAGAACAAAGTTGTAAGTGGCACGGGTCCCTTTGCTCTCACGCATCATACCGGCAGGGTGAGCCAGTAATACAACTTGTGCCTCACAGTAAGAAGGACCTGGGTTCGATTCCGGACTCGTAAACTTTTCTATGTTGTCGAATTAATATGTTCTCCCTTGCTCTGCAGGGGTTTCCTCCAGGTTTTCAGGTTTGCTGTCATAGCAAAACAAATATAGATATATACTATAACTGTGTTTGCTAAAAATCCTAATTCTGAAATGTTACCCGCAAATTACTCAACTGGATTACACATTTTGATTTAAAGCTTTCGTGACTGCAGGGATTCATATTCTTGGTTCTTTCGGTAAAGTCACGTAGAAGAGAAACAATAAAATAATAAAAATATAGAACAATTAAATTATCACGACGTTTCGACTGCAACACAAGCAATCATCATCAGGTGTGAAAACCACAGCAGGAAGGACCTGAGTTCGAAAATTTCAAATTTTCTTGCTGTGGTTTTCACACCTGATGATGATTGCTTGTTTTGCAGTCGAAATGTCGTGAGAATTTAATTGTTCTATATTTTTATTATTTTATTGTTTCCCTTCTACGTGACTTTACCGAAAGAACCAAGAATATGGATTACACATAGCAACATTGCCCTCTGACTGAGGAAAAATACGTGGCAGGACCCTGCTGAAAAATAATTATGAGACTCGGTAGGATTTACCAGGTTAAACAAGCCGAATAAAGTAATCAAAACATAAATGTCCAAGATTTTCTAACCTAAAAGGAATATTATTGTCATCTTCATCTTCACACATACTCATGTTAGGACTACCACCTCTGCGGTCCAAACAATCCTGACACATCATGGGAAGTAGAATATCATATTATTATCTCACAAATCCAGAAGTGAGGATAACTACATGTGAATGCATTGTCTTGAGTAGCGCATCATTATAATTATTCATCGGTGATTTCCCATGACATCTAGAGGATGACCCTGGAAAAACCATGGCAGGTGGCACCACAAACTCACGGGCCTATTTCCCTACTCTGCTGGTTGAAGGCGTCGTCACATCGACCGGCATGCTTCAAATCTTCCCCCCCCTCCCCCCCGGACAGAACCCGCCGGGGGTGATGAGCATCCTTGATGATGTGTGCGCCACCATGCACGCTAAGGGCGAGGGTGCAGACACCACGCTGCTGCAGAAGCTGCAGGCCGGCATCGGCTGCCACGAGCACTTCAACACCTGGAACCGCGGCTTCGTCGTGCACCATTACGCCGGCAAGGTGACGGCGGGGTGCGCTGCACAGCGTGGCTGGCGGGAGCGGCTCCGGTGCTGGGGAATGAAATGGGGGAGGCCCTGCTCAATTTTCAACCTTAGAAAATATATATATATATCCTGGTTGCGCTCCTCGCATTGTGCACACTCACTGCTATGTATGCATGCATGTATGTTGAACTTCTTTCGCACCGTATGTAGCCAACCGCGCTAATCGGAGCTTGCTGTGTTAACAATGCACTCATCCTTACACACCCACTCTCACAGATACGGCACGTATGCCACTCGCGTAACCGCTATACAGATACGACTCGAGCAATGGGGCATCAAGTTCGCACTCGCGCCAGGCCCTGACCTCGCTATTTCCATGCCCCCAGGTCTCTTACGACGTGGAGGGCTTCTGCGAGCGCAACCGAGATGTGCTTTTCCCTGACCTGGTCGAGCTGATGCAGAGCAGCCAATAGTGAGTATCCTTTGTCACCGACGCACGCGCTCACACATAGGCACATGTGCACGCACGCTTGCGTACGTGTAGAGGCACTTCATAAAAGGCACAACCCAAAAAAAGGCAACTTCGAAAGAGCACACATTCTCTTTGGTCACCTTGCCACATTTCCCAAATCCCGCAGCCCCTTCTTCTACAGCCTCTTCCCCGAGAACCTGCAGGTGGAGAAGAAGGGCCGACCCACCACGGCTAGCAGCAAGATCAAGGTGCGATGTCTGACTTCACTCTTAAGACTTTAAACTAAATGCTTCAGGGACATTACACTTGCAAAAAAACACGGCCATTCAGACGGAGGTGCTCTTGCCAATGTCTGAAAAAAAACCAGCCTATTTTGTTTAACAATGACGAGACCCCGAAGCTCAAAACGGGTACAGAGTTTTCTGGCTTAAACACATGTTGCGGGATAATATTGGTTTGGAAAGCCAATAGGCCGATGGACTAAAACATGTTTTTTAAATGTATGTGTGCAGACACAGAACGGGGCTCCACTTATATATGATTTTACTCGTGAAATAGCTAATTTACAAAACATTCCCAAAAAATGTACTGTCATAGGGGGTGAAAATAAGAGCTTCATATTTTGGCTGACTGGTTTTCTTTAGAATATATATTAACTGAGAGAGTCTTGGTTAGGTTGGGAAACGAAATAATGGCATGCGTATGCTAATTAACTTCATAACCGTTCTTTTGCAAGAGAGACTTGTATTGTGAAAATAAAACAATAAAAAGTTATTTCAGTGCAGGGGAATGTATGGGAAAAGGAAACTTGCAGGTAAAAATGATTAAAAAAAACTTTCATGTGATTGGTCGTTATGCAGTTGGCATTCCTCCAGGATAAATAAAGATTTTGATTCTGCATGATTTAAAGCCTATTTTAAAAATAGACGTATTTAAAACTTATTGTACATTTAGTTAATATCATGTAAATATACAGCAATCTGCAACTCATTTGATTGAAACCTAAGCACCGCATACACAGAAGAACGTTTCGGAAAAATGAAAGATCAGTCAGTGTTGTTGTGTTGTGCGCGCATTGACCGCGTGGCCACGCGCGCCTGTGTGCACGCGCCTGCGCGCGCATTTGCTCTCGCTCGCGTGCAGAAACAAGCCAACGACCTGGTGAACACGCTGATGCGATGCACGCCGCACTACATCCGCTGCATCAAGCCCAACGAGACCAAGCGCCCTCGCGACTGGGAGGAGAGCAGGTGCCGAGGGCCAATCACACTCGCGTTACCACCACCTCTGTTCAGTTCGTTTTGTTTAACCGGGGTGAGAGTTGGGGAGACCAGAAGAGTCTCAATTGCAAGCGCATTGATTTTTTTTTCTATAGGATAGAATATTTCGTAACATAAGTTGGCTTGGTCAAACTACTTTGAAAACGCTCACAATACAAAATAATATTCGAGACAATACAAATAATTAAATGTTTAGATTGTTGTCCTTCCCCTGCACCTCCGATTAGCACGGTTGGCTACGTACTTTGTGAAGAAGTTCAACATGCATACACATAAATGGGTCATATCTTGGGAAGAAGAATATCTCCTTATACCAGAAGAGGGGATAACTAGGTGAAATCGCATTGTCTTCAGTGGTGCATTATTGCTCAACTGATAAAAAAAACCACGACTTTCTTTTGTCCTGGGTTAAGCCACATATTTCTTAGGACAGCGACGGCAAAAAGAAGAGGACTATTCTGGAAAACCAAAATGGGTGGCAACTCTAGTATACACACAACGCACACATACGCAGATGTACTAGCACTCACCAGTGGGCCAGAAACTCGATCATATATTCTTTCAAGTAACTCACATTATAATAGATTTTCCAATGCCCACGTCCTGATAATCATCAGCCCTGATCCTTCCACCGCTGCATGTAGGCCGACCCACACCGTCTCCATCGCTTTTGCAATGCCACAATCCATCTGGCTTCTGCACAGGAAGTAATCTCATCGCTCTATCTCGTGGGTGGCCGTCGACTTCGGCATGTTCCTCCTTTTACTGCCATTCCATCGCCAGTAAAATTCGGGCAAATTGTGGAACAGCTTTGGCCCTCTGAGTCCCATCATTCACTGTATATCCATCAAGTATTTTTGTAAAATGTTCATTGTTTCTGTATTTCTAAACATCGTTAATCTTCATTACTATTAAGAATGTTTTACCTGATGAGAATCCCATTCTTCTTTATCTTTATGTGACTGATGTTGATGTAGAGCAGTAATATCTATAAATTTACATTGAGGTGGTTGAGCAAGATAATTGCATCAGGAGTAGCGGAGCGTACCGCTGTGATGCCTCCTTCCTATGTGATTTGGGCATTGAGTTGTTATATGTCCCATGGTCTGTTCTGGGTGACCACAGTCGCGAACTGTAGATTGTTTTGACTTTCCATTTGTGCATCAAGCGTCTGCACCTGCCACAGTTAATGCAGATGCAGTTTAGGGGTCGTGACCCATAAGCTTCATGGACGATCGAAGCCAGGCATTGTCTGCCTGTCAGGATTTCCACGGGGTGTCCGTGACTTCTCGTGGACATCCCAATTGGGCTTTCCAAGCGTCGCCAGCTTTGAAGTCGCATTGTCCAAGTTGAAGGCTGCGTGCGTCCAAAAGGTTCTCGCTCGATTGCAAACGGCGGCGAGAATCCCACCGTGGCACGGGCGACTCTTCCCTCTTTGGCAAGGCCGACGCGGGTCCGCTCGTAACTGACTTTGCTGCCCGTGCGCCGGCGTGCCCGTGCCTGCGTCCGCGACGTGCAGGGTGCGCCACCAGGTGGAGTACCTGGGTCTGCGGGAGAACATCCGCGTGCGCCGCGCCGGCTTCGCGTACCGACGCGTCTTCCAAAAGTTTCTGCAGAGGTGAGCGCCGAACCCCCGGCACGCGAGTGGCTCAGCCAACGTCCCCCCCACCCACCCACCCCCTGCTGGGATTGTCCGTGCAAGGCAATATTCATGACAAAGATCGCCGGGGTTTGTGGCGAGTACCCGTAACTCATACTCGTTGGGTCTTACGATAAAGTCACGTAGATGGAAACTTAATGCAAATCACGACGTTTCGATCGCGACACAAACTGCAGGTCTCCTGCTGTGTTTTTTTTTTAACCTGAAGACGATTGCTTGTGTTGCGATCGAAACGTCGTGATTTTTTTTATTATTTCTCTATCTACGTGACTTTACCGAAAGACCCAAAGAGTGCGAATTCCTGCAGTCACGAAAGCTTTAAGTCAAGATTTGCCCATAAGGGGCCGTCCATAAATGACGTCACGCACCTAGGGGGAGGCAGGGGTCAGATATTTGTGACGATGTGTGACGAGGGGGGGGGGGGGTGAGAAATGTGACGTCACATCAAAATGCGCAACTTTAAATAAATATGAACACGTTCTACTTAATTAAATGGACTTTATAATAAATGTTTTCTCCTACAACATCAGAGTGCAGCGCCACATTAAATATGCACTACAATGACAATAGTTTAAAGCGATTTGAAGCATGTTTTATTTTCAAAATGGAAATATGGTTTTGGGGGGTGGGGGGGGGCAGAGCTTTGTGACGTCATATTTGAGGGGGGGGTCTGACTTTTTGTGACGAGGGGGGGGAGGTCAAAAATCGTCCAAAATCGCGTGACGTCATTTATGGACGGCCCCTAACTCGTTGTGCCGATGTGAGACGCGCAACTTCACTCGGCCATGGTGAAGGTCACCGACAACGCAGGGGGACTTTCGACTGGTCTCTAACGGCTACATTTTTGAAGAAAAAAATAATACACTTAAAAATGTACTCCTGTTCTTGGTTGCAGCCATTGAGATGTTTCTTCGTGAAAAACGTCACTATAGATGAAGGTGGTGGCATTGGTTGTGATAATGTCTAGAATGATGATGATAATTATATCAGCAATTGCAATGATCATGGTAACGGTGATGACAATGATTACTATTACAATGATGATGATAATGATAGGAACGATGACAATGGCAATAATTATAACGATGACTGCAAAAATTATGACAATGATGGCAATGCTGCTGATAATGGTGATGATGACAATGGGAATTGCAATGACGATTGTACCAAAACATGACTGGTGGTGGTGAGAATGAAAATGACGATGACCGTGATGAAAATGTTAATTTTTAATAATGATTAAAATGATTACGGTGGTGGTGGTGGTGATGATGAGGATCACGATGATGAAAATGCAAAACGGTAATGGTGGCGATGATGGCAATTACAACGATGATGGTGATGATGACGACGACGCCGCCGCCGATGGCGACAACAACCTTGGACGATTTGCGCCCCGCGCGGACAGGTACGCAATCCTGACGGCGGAGACGTGGCCGGCATGGCGCGGGGACGAGCGCCAGGGAATCACACACATCTTGCGCGCCGTCAACATGGAGGCCGACCAGTTCCAGATGGGGCGCTCCAAGGTCTTCATCAAGGCCCCCGAGTCGGTGAGAGGAGAAGGCCCCCCCCCCCCCCAGCTCGTTAACGCGTTTGCACGCCGTGCCGCCCCTCGGCAATGTGGCAGGCTAGAGTGGTGGTGAGTGGTTGACTGTGCGATCTGTATGAGAATTACTTTTATGTGGAGAGATATATACGAAGGAGACACACGATGGCATCTTGATTGTGCAGGGCTGCCTTAAGGAGTGTTAAATGTTGAGTGTGCTTGAGTGCCTGCCTGTTGTAGGGTATCGGTGAGCGCGCTGCGGTACGAACCCGGCGACCCGAGTTCGATTCTCGCTCACGGCCAACATCAGTGAGGATTCTCTGAACCGGCCCTGGGCCTCCACCTAGGTCGACTCAGCCTCAAATGAGTATCTGGTGTAGCGGTGTGTCGTAAACATCGCCACTAGAAAGACAAAGGCGGCCGGGCATGGTGTTGGCCACCAACCCCCTCGTGTGCCATTCCGGCCTTCATAGGTGCTCGCTAACAGCACTTTTAAAGCTATACGGGGGATCTTTGTCTTTTGTGTGCAAGCGAGCTAACATTCTATGGGGAGCAACAAATATTTGGTGACAAATGTGTTTTACCTGGTCCTGGGCCTCCCCTAGTTTGTCTCAGCCTTTTAAATGAGCACCTGGTGAGGTGTGTAAACATTAGCATTGGGGAAACAAAGGTGGCCAGGCATGATGGTAGCCACTCATAGCCTCGTGTGTCGTGCCAGCTTCAATAGATGCGCCCTAACATCACTTCAAGTTTCAAGTTCAAGTTTCATTTATTAGGTATAGCCCTGTGAGCCATGCGGCTCTTAAGTTGGGTGCAACCGTAACAAACAAAATATGAACAGAGAAACATCTTAAAGCGACGACGCGCAACATAAGCATCCTGGATAAACCAGCAAATCTTGCAGGAAAAAACACACCGTATTACAACGCTGTGTGCAAAAATCCCAGTGTGATGCAAGTCAAACAATAACAATCATAAGACAATTTAGATTCAAGTTATCAGGCCAACTCCGCACTTCCGCAAAAAACATGGCTTCACCATATGTTTTCGAAATCACCAAAATAAAGCTATAAAAATAATGTAACAACAGTAATCATAGGAACTGTGATTCAAATTTAACAATAAACGATATACATATACAGTACTTGCTCCAGCAGTCTGTTAAAGGCTATTTTACGGGAGATCGTTGTCGCTGTGTGTTAACTCTGTGGCCTCTTTCTCAGCTATTCCTCTTGGAGGAGATGCGCGACAGGAAATTTGACGCCTTTGCTCGCACGATCCAGAAGGCCTGGCGCAAGTTCAACGCCTACAAGCAATACGCCCGCATGCGGGAGCAGGGTGCGTAATTGATGAGTGTGAATGTCTTGAATTGAATAAGGTTCAATTGTCTAAATGGTGGTGGAGGGGGAGGGGGGCATAAAACCCTGGAGAGGGGGGCACAGCACAGTCAATGTTAAAACAAACTTTAAATAAAGATAATATAGAAGGGGGAGCTGAGGAGCAGTGACGGGCGAAACCCCGCCACGTTCTATGTGAGTCTATGGCTCTCTGTGAGGTATCTGGGTCTCCGTGTAAGTCTACTGGTGGGTCTCTGTGTGAGAAGTGCTGATGAGAAAGTCACTGCCAGCCACATGCCAGTCCACCTGCGCACACGGAGACTGCAAACCCCAGCTGGAGCCATGAACAGCCACGTATCCAGGCCCTGTTGAATGACAATCAAGGCTGGAAATAGGAAGGGAATTACTGGGGGACCTCATAAATGCCCCTCCAGCACACACACACACATATATATAACCCGCCACTACACTTGTCCCTGGTTCATTACAGAATGCAGTCGGGTTAAAATCTTTATTCCCACCATGACCTTCTGGGTCATTCAGGCCTAATTCGAATGCTGATGATACTTTTCCTTTTGTCAGCTTTGAAATTGTCTTCTCAATGATACCCATAAGTCGTAGTCGTTGAGAATAATTTTGTGTTCACTAAAACAGTTACTGTAACCAGTGTATCAGTGCCACCGATGGCTTAGCACACGACGACGAAACGCCACCGCCAGTTCGGCTATCCTTATCGGAACCTTTTAGCATGCAAGCTCAAACACCCGTGTGCTGGATTCCTGCAGCCTCGGACATCCTGCTCAACAAGAAGGAGCGGAGGAGAAACAGCATCAACCGCAACTTTGTCGGAGACTACCTCGGTATGGACGACCGACCAGAGCTCAGACAGTTCCTGGCGAGGCGAGAGCGTGTGGATTTCGCCGACGTCGTCACCAAATACGACCGCCGCTTCAAGGTGCCCGTCTCCCAGCTCTCTCACTCGGTGCCGCCTGGGCTGGCGAATGCTGCCGGTATGCACCACGGGCAGAAGGTTTAGCTCTTGCGGTTCGTGTGAATCTTCTACTCCCCTCGTGTCACCCGGCAGTTGGTGAAACGTGACCTCATCTTGACCGCTAAGTGCCTGTACCTGATCGGGCGTGAGAAGGTGAAGAAGGGACCCGAGAAAGGCCAGCTGATGGAGGTGCTCAAAAACAAAATCGAAATTGACAAAATCCAGTCCATCTCGCTCAGGTAAGAAGCACGCGAATTTTGCCGAAGTTGTAAAACTGTTGTCACATCTGGAATGGAGCACCCAGTTTCTGCCTCATTGCACCTGGTATAATTCAACGTTACCATCAAGTCGATTAATGATCCAGCACTCACTGATTCACTCCATTCACTGGTGAACAATCACCTCCTTATGACTCTTCTATCGCAACTACCATGGTCAATGTTCCTATGAACTCTACTGATTGATTGTATGTATGTTGAACTTCTTTCGCACCGTACGAAGCCAAACGTGCTAAGCGGAGATGCAGGGGAAGGACAACAAACTAAACACAAAAAGTAGTTCCGATGAAGTGAGTTTTCAGTGTAGATTTAAAAATGAAGTCTACCAGGCTAACTTGTTTTTTTTCTCATCTGTATTGTTTTCACTTACCATCCTGCAGGTCAAAACTCTTCTCTTTTCTGCCTCTTTCCTTTCACTGCTCTATTTTTAATTCCCTCCCATCGTCTCTCTTACAAACTTCTTATAACCTTGCTCAAATGAAGACACATCTGAACTCTCATGTATACCTTCAAGAGTGCTGTTTTTTTTCACAAAGGATGAGACAAAACAAATGAAGACGACGGACCAAACGATGTAGACAGATTGACAGCACAGAGAAGGCATTGCACATAATAAAATTATAACCTCCAATTGTGAAAATTTATAGAATCACAGTGGGAACAGAGGTTAATTTTATCATGCCTAAGCGCTACCGTTCTGTATATACCTGCGTAGGGGTAAGACCGATCATGATGTCTGGTATTTCTACCCTATCCATGGCTGAAGCGAACTTATAATTGAGCACTTTGCCACAACTTTAGGATCTGGCAGACGGAATGAAGCAATGGCAAGGTGTGGTGGTATCTTCGGGTGCAAATTGACTATGCGATGATGATATAATACTGTAATTGTGATGTCTAGTCTTTGTAAGCCTGTATTCGTGTGCCTTTGAAAATCATCTGTGCCTATTAATCTCATGTAAAAGCCGCGGCAGCTGTAACGTGGGCTGAACGTTGGCTACTGTGTGCGTGGGCCACTACGCGCGTGGTAGTGTAGTGGTTAGCGCTTCGCTGCGCTACGAACCCGGGGGCCCGAGTTCGATTCCCGCTCACAGCCAACACCAATGACGATTAATCTGAATTGGTCCTGGGTCTCCCCTAGGTCGACTCAGCCTCAAATGAGTACCTGGTGCAGTGTGTAAACATCGTCACTAGGGAGACAAAGGCGGCCGGGCGTGGTGTTGGCCACCCACCCCCTCGTGTACCGTGCCGACCTTCATAGGTGTTCGCTAACAGCATTTGCCTCAACAGTCTGTTGGGGCTATACGGGGGATTTTGGTATTTTTTTTTGCGTGCAGCACTTTGCAGGATGACATGTTCATCGTTCACGAGCGCGAGGACGACAATCTCCTCGAGTCTGTCTTCAAGACCGAGCTCCTCAGCCTCCTGTGCAAGCACTTTGAGGAGCTCACCAAGCAGAAGCTGGCCCTCAACTTCAACAACACGTGAGGCCGCGCTGCTGTGATGCCGCCTGTCCGCCCCTGTGTGCGACGATACTGTGTGAACCCCCTGTCTTCTCATCCCCCCCATCAGCCAAAAATGTTATACACATTATAGTTCTGATTTATCAACAAGAGCCTCATTGAGCGTCAAGACTGCATCGGGGATATTTGGCCAGTTCCTCATGAAATATTTTTTCCAAAGATAAACGGAGCGCCTGCAGAAAACCCTAACATGCGAGATGACGACACTGTCATAATAATTATTACAATCATAATCAATTTTATTTATTGGGGATAACTTTGCTGAGTCTTGGGACCTTTTTTGGGGGGGGTTTCTGCATTCGGCATGTTTGGCAAAAATTAATAAAATTAGTGTTTGGCACCAAAGAAATCTGATAACGAAAGGTCAGAAACCTAATTTCGTCTACTGCTATGTACTGGCCTCCTCACAGCCTAGCAGTTTTAACATCCCTCACACAGTGAAATATCTACGATCCACCTCATCGGGTTTACGGGGTTTTGCGCCACCGTTATGAGCATAAGCCAACGCCACTTATCTTACGCGCACTCTACCCAATGAAAGCCACTTCCCTCTCACTCTGAATGACACTTCTTGATTCTCCATGCCTCCCACCCACCCCCGACGTGTCCCGTGAAGGCTGGAGTTTAGGGTGAAGAAGGAGGGCTGGTTTGAGAAGGGTGGCACCCGCCAGGTGTCATTTGTGTGCAAGACTGGAGACGTCGCAATTTTGAAATCCAGTGGCCGAGTTCTTACCGTGACCATCGGCCGGGGACTGCCCTCCAGCTCACGTGAGCAGCACCGGAGCCGCGAATAGAATTGCCACCTGTCCTGCTTTTTCCCAGGATTGTCTCAGTCTATTTTGTATTGATGCTTGCGCAGCCTTTATATTTTTCAAATGCGTGTACATGAGTGTGGACGTAAATATTCGTAAAGGATTACTCACTTGTACGTGATACTCTGGACTTGTACGTTACTTTTTTTTGTTCTTTTGAGATGTGGGCATCGCTGGTACACAAGCATTTATTGCCCATCCCTATAGTGCATTGCCAACCGAAATAACGAGAAGAACCATTTACGTCGATTTCGGTAAAAAAATTTAATATTCCCAGAGCCAAAATGTACGTGACTACAAGACGGTCCTGAATAAACAACGTCACGAAATAGTCCCTAAAGTGCCGCATTTGGCTCTGGAGCCGCAGATTGCTGACCCGTGCCGATGATAAACTAGACTTCCATACTCTTTGGTGCTATTCGGTAAAGTCACGTAGGTAAAAAGGTGCACTGCCGTGTGCTACACCTTTCATCCGCCAATCAAATGCTAATTTTTTATGCTAATTCCTTTGTCAAGGCACCTTAATCCCTCTCACACAGCTTAAAGGTCGTAGTCTGAGCTTGGCTCTGTTTCACTCCAGCGCAGTCTTCGAGACAGTCTGGTCCCTTCACCTGATGAAGGCCGCTTGTGTTGTGGCCGAAACGTCGTGATTTTTGTTTATTTTTTACCTACGTGACTTTACCGAATAGAGCCAAAGAGTATGGAGCCTTGCAGTCACGAAAGCTTCAAATCTAGACTTCCATGGTGAACTGGACTCGCACGGTAAACTGTGAACTTCCATAGTCAATTGGACTCCCATAGTAAACTGGACTTCCTTGGTATACTGAACACCAATGGTCAGGAGTTGGCAACCAAAACAACAAGAAGAGCCATTTTTTTTCTAATCCGGTAAAAAAACCTCAATATTGTAAGAGCTACAATCCATGTGAATGCGAGACGGTCCTTAATCAATAACGTTACGAAGCAATCCTTAAAGAGCCACATGCGGCTCCAGAGATGCAGGTTGATGACCCCTGCTTTAGCGGAACCAAATACATATATATGACTCTAAAGCATATAATTTGAGGCCTAGAACCAAAACTATTGGTCGAGGCATATTGTCTCAGCATGCTCACATATATTTAAAACTGACAATTCCATTTAATTGTCGTGCACTTTACAGCATGTATGCATTGTGGGTTTTAACATGCACGCCGGTTGTAATCATCTCTGCCCTTGGCACGTTACCTTGCAGGCCCAAACAGAAAGGAGATTATGAGAGGCACGGGGAGAGGCAGGGGCTTTACAGAGCAACCGTCCTATAATAAACAAATCCAGCAACGTCCACTGCCAGCCGTTAACGCAGGTAAGCAGCCACACACAAACACAAGCATCAGATACTCACTCCATGCTAAAATTCCTATCACCAATGTGCCCGATCTCATCAGATCTCAAAAGCTAAGCAGATTTTAACCTGGCTAATATGCAGATGGTCAACCACCATGCACAACAGAATGTTATAGGCTGGAGGGCTACGTGATGGTGGGTAAAGGCATCGTTTTCTCTATTTTGCACTCCTATCGGGTTTTTTAAATATATTGTTTGTTATTGTAACTTGCTGACCTGACCCTACTGGACATCTGTGAAAAGGAGCTTCATAGCTTATCGGATTCCTCCAGTCCAAATAAAGATTCTGAAAAATGGTCAAATAACCCTGACGACCTGCACGACATGAGGAGACCCTCACCTATAAGCGGATTGACAAAAGGGTCTTACATAAAATGACATCAAAGACAATGTTTGTGATACTGTGTTGGCAGTGGAGCACAAGCACAAATGAGAAAAAAACACTCAACACATTTAAATCTTGACTTAAAGCTTTCCTGACTGCAGGAATTCATATTCTTGGGTCTTTCGGTTAAGTCATGTAGATACGTAACTTTACTCAACACATTTAAAAGTAACACTACGCTAAAGAGGAAGAATAAACGATAGACATTTTGCTAAATGGTCCAATATGCAAAGCAAAGACATTTGCTATGAATAGGGGTCTATTATATATTTTTTTCCTATTGAGGGTAGAGTTATTGACAAATGTGTTGAGATTTTGTGACAAATATAATAGTAAAATATGCACAAACACCATACCCGTCGACCTGTACGGTTTACCCGTATTCTTGTACAGGGAAATTGACTTTTCAGGTCCATACGGGGTACAGCCGTTTCAATACGAGCAAGCAAAAAAAAAGTGTCTGTTTGTGTTTCTCCCTTGCGATGGTGACTTTGTAGGATGAACGTTGAGATTTATAAGGGGACACGCGGTGACCAATAAGGTCTGGATTGGTCTCTAATAAGGTAGGCACTGATAATGGGTTAACAGGTATGAAACACTCAACGTGTGGGATCACGCCTGTCCAAGCAGGCTACAAAGGACACCAGCAGCAGCAGCAGCGGCACCGCAACGGTGCGCCGCCTTCTCAGCGTCAACCCACGGGTCCAGCCAAGGCACCCGCCTACGCTCAGCCCAACATAAGGGGTGGCACCAAAAGGCAGCAACAGCAGGACCGACCTTCCCTGCCACGCCACGCGACCAACGTGCACGCCCCTACCGCTGCCCAGACCAAACGTGACAGGGACTTCATGCGGGTGCCGGATCAGGGTGCGGCGGGGTACGTCATCGTCCTCAACTAGTGCTACAGTCTCCCCAAATCCCTCGTCTCAAAACTTCCACTGCGAGACTTCTTACCCACACCCATAAATAAGACCATATTATCTCCACTGGCTACCAATCCAGTATCCAATCGATTTCAAAATCTCACTCAACGCCTCAAAGATCCTTCATAGACATGCCTCTGCCGAATTCTCCTCATATCACTCTGCTCTTGTCCACACATTCTCTGCTCCAGTGACCAAAGTTCTCAGTCACGACCCCCCTTTGTATGAAACTCCCTTGCCCCAGCCACCTGTACTGTCAAATCCCTGCCCTTAATCAAGTCTACGCTGAAGACGTTGATTTTTCCCCCTCTGCTTATAAGTGACTGCCTCTCTCTAGCACATTTGTCCCTTGTGTCGTCTGTGCAGCATCTTGCGATGCGGTTGCCTATAGATATTATATAAATCAACATTTATATTGTATCATCCATTACCTGCCTGCTGTTGTGTCGCCACCACTACATCTGGTGCTCAAGCATTTGCAATTCATCTCATCTGCGCATGTGCATTCATTAGATCCGTCACTCCATCTCCGCTTTGGTTACTGCTCCCCCACCCCTTCCAACACATGCATTATATCTTTGTTCACAGTTTTGCACTGCTTCAGAGCACGAGTTTCCCATGGTTGGTATCCGTACGTGGTGTGTAATTTTATTTGTTCTTTTGTGGCTTTGTGAACACGCGTGCGTCCTCGTTCAGCATGCAGAGGCAGGTGTCCCAGGTTCGCCCTACGCCGGGAGGCGGAAGATCCAAGCTTCCCATGCAAGCCAGAGCAGCCGCTTTCCCGCGCTGTCGTGCCATATACCAGTACGACGCGCAGGACACGGACGAGATCAGCTTCAGCATCGGCGAAGTCTTCGACCTCATCCGGGAAGGTGGGTGGTGCATGTGTAAGGATGGTGCGTGGCCTTGTGGCCGCGAGTAATGATTGCAGCGATGAGGACAGGCAGGGTCAAGCGAGGTAACTGGGTGAGGAACCTGGCAGGTGCTAGCGAGGCTAGGAAACACTCCGGCAGAAGAGAGTTCGGAAAAAGGGGTGGGGCCACAGCCGAAGGGAGATATAAGGGAGCGCGTAGCGGGGCTAGGGGCTGCCGTAGGAATTGGGGGTCCGGACCGTCGTCGCTGTGGTCATCATCGTCCTCATCGTCTTGAAAAGCTGGAGAGGGAGTTATATGTCTTCGCCGTGGCTACTACATCAACGGCTCCTATATAGTCAGTCAGAGAAAGTGAACATCGTGTAGCAGCTACATAGTCACCCAGTTGTATATAGTCAACCTTCAGCATGTCATCGAGTCAGGTGGACTATTTATATAATAAATATATATATAACTTATGCAAGACTGCATCTCTGAGTGCTACACTACACATATAAACATCGTCTTTGCCCGGTGATAATCCGTACACGCGTAAATGCTTCGCTGAGCCTTGTGTGTGTCACTGAATCCACATGCACATCAATAAAACTTTTTCCAGCTTCAATGGAAGAACCTGCAGTGTCTGGGGCTCCGGTGTGTCGGTTTCCCGCTGACAATTGTAGCCGTGTATTTCTAACAATGACAGCCATACCTAGGCGATCATATACGTGTGATGCCTTTTTTCTGAGAATGGAAAATTATAAAGTACAGCCCTTTGTAAATCCACTAATGGATGAAGGCCTCTTCATACCATGTCAGTCATGAGGGGTTGTTTGACCGATTCTTCACCACGCTTGCCAGTGCAGGTTGGTGAAGGAAGGGCCCGGAATCAGTTTGAGAATATTTACGCTGGAAGAATCCAATGAGCTATAAATCAATTTTTCATAGATATCCAATAGGGGCGGGTTAGAACGTGACAACAAACAGTATACAAACATGATAGTCGTGCAAAGTACAAGAAAGGTAAATAATTCACCCAAACACGTACAAATGAAACTAAACCAACCCCATCATACCAAGAAAAGTCCACTGAGGTATTAACTTGTTTTTCAGAAGCGACCCGGACACAAATGATAGCTCGACAAAGTGGCTTATCATTTGGACATTTATAGCAGCAAAATAATCTAAATAATCTCATTACATGTTTCTAAATGTGGAGGGAAAACCCGTTCACTGATGTTATCTGTGGCTGGGACTTAAACTTAGATCACCGGGTCCATAGCATAGTGCGCAAATTACGGCACCACCATACCCTATGGGCATGTATTGTCTTATTGGATACTGCAGATGTAACCATCATTGGTTCATCAATTAAAATATAATATTATGGTCGTGATGCATGGACTGAAGTGAGCGTGTAACAAGTACTTATGGATTAACGAACTGAGAGAGCAGATGATATGGAACAAATGAAACAGATGATGCGAAGACATCATGACACACACGTGTGTATGTTGAACTTCTTTTGCACTGTATGTAGTCAACCGTGCTAATCGAAGGTGCGGGGGAAGGACAACATCGGCTTTCTTGACCACTGTTATGATTCATAAATTGGTTCTTGAGTCAGGTCGCCGTGTGAATAAAATGTGAGTCCTATACCATCCTCCACCCGACACAAATTATTACTGTTGAAGCAGTAATTACTCATGAAGTAGCAATTCCAAATCAAGACAATTTACTACAAAGGGGCGTATTATTTTGTCTACCAGATTCCATGTGGCCAGCACGTGATTTTACTGCAGTCCATGTACCCGTGCAGTCTACTCACAACCTTCCACTCAATTTTGCATTTGCACGCTGAACTTTAATGTCTAAATTTTCATGACATCACCTGCATGTTACAGGTCATTATTTTCTAACATGGTAGTCTGTTCCCTGATTTTTTTTATTTACTTATTTGCTGTACTTTATTTTATTGTTTTAATCATTGTGGTGGCTCGGATCATTCTTGCAAATGAGACTATCTTGGTTTCTTACCTGGTTCTTACCTGGTTAATCAATTGAACTTGGCCTACTGTGACATCCTGGGCAAATGAACTATGTAAATATATGCATTATTTAATGACCCAACTTCTGTTTGTTTATAGATCCATCAGGTTGGTGGAGTGGGTGCATCCGTGGCAAGGAGGGAATGTTTCCTGGGAACTACGTGGAGAAAATATGAGCAGCTTGGCCTTGAAATGTGCAATTTGGGTGTTCAAATCCTCAGCATGCCTTCACAGTGGCAGAGAGCAAAAGTGATAACATCTCTTTGTGCTTGATCTCAAGCACACCTGGCAATGTATGTGTTGTTTCCTCATTAGTGCACTCACTTGCATATTAGGCAGTGGTTCTCAACCTTTTTATTATGGTGCCCCCCAACCCCAGCCCCTGTGCGCCCCCCCATCCCCCCCCCCCCCACCATGAGAAAAAATATTGAGCAATCATCAAAGCTAATCAGATACTGAAGAAGCACTGACTCTACAAATTCAAGTAATTTTCCATGCATCCAGCTGCCTTCTGGTTGGCTGGATGACACAGCCCCTCTTTGTCTCTTTAATTGGTGCCCATGTGCCAGCAATTGAATCTCATGGTATTTTCATGAGGACAAACTTGATGCAGGGCTAAATAAAGTGCCAGGGTAATTTAATTGATAGAAATGTAACAGTTTCACTTTAATATTATTGGTTATTTCAGTAAAGTCACGTAGATAGAAAATAAAAATAATAAAATTAATTGAAAATAAGAAAAGCAAAAAACCCACGACGTTTCAATCACAACACAAGCGGTCTTCATCAGGCGGTGGCTTCACTTTAAGCCACCGTAAATTGCCATCCACATAATGCATTTGATAATAAAGTGCATAGTTTCACAGAAGAGACATACCATGATATTAATCTGTAAACGTATGAAATTTTCTCATCCCCAAAAAAATCTGTTTTTATCTACACAGATATTTGGAATATGAATCATGATTTTTTTATTGAATTTTTTTTAGGTCTTTGACTTCTATGAAGTCTACATCATGGGGCCTCCTTTGCCAGTACCAAAATATGAGAATGGGTTTTCCCCTTTTTCTGGCAGCAAACAGGTGTTAAGATGTTTAAACACCAAAATGAAACCTTTTACAAGGAATCATGTCTGCATTAACCACAATACTTGTGGTCAGAATGCAAAAAAACGTACTTTTTGGCGTCCTCTGGTCTAACACCGTTTTGAGACGAGGCTCCAAAGAAAGCTGTCTCTGGTGTGGACCAATCGGTTTCAAAGACAATGCATCATGTATTATCAGACTATGTTTTTTGTTTGCATTCTGACCACAAGTATTGTTGTTAATGTAGACATGATTGCTTGTAAAAGGTTTTAGTTTGGTGTTTTAACATCTTAACACCAATATTCTTGGTTCTTTCGGTAAAGTCACGTAGAAGGGAAACAGTAAAATAATAAAAGGGGAAAACCTATTCTCATTCTATGAAGTTTTTTTAGTAAACAAAACAATTACATCTGGTATTCATAGCATGTCTCCAATGATTCCATTTACTGAAACATTTACATTTTATTTTTACAAGGTTACATTTTTTCGATGCCATTATTGATGACTATAGTATAAACATGGTCTTTTTAAGCATGGGTATTCAAACATCATACTTGAAAATGTTTCACTGTTTTGCAATTGTAAACGATTGTCATTTGAAGGCAGTTGTTCAGAATTTTCTCTTTGCCACAGCATAAAATATGGTGTTTTGTTAAATGAAGCAAAGCTGTTATTTAGCAATAGATTGCTATAATTAAAGAGTAATAATTCATTGCTTTCCATAACAAAGGTGTTTGGGATATATCGATTAAATATAAATGTCGTTAAACCCGCTAACACGTGACAGAGCCAGTTAGTAAGGTTTGTCACGTAAACATAATATGACACGTTAAATATAACATGTTTACGTGACAAACCTTACAAATTGGCTGTGTTGGGTGGTGGTGGGTTTAACGACACATTTAAATTTACGTGATCTAACCCAAAACCTCTAATATGGATGTGTTAAAATACACTGCTTTATTACAGTACGTGCAAAAATGTACACAGTACTATCATGTTAAGTGTTAATCACACGTTAATACGTATTCATGAGTTGGAAATTGAACCCATTAATCTAAACACAAATGCAAATTGCTTTGTTGTACGGTCAGTGACATTGTGAAATATGCAAGTAATAAATACATGTTGCAAACAAAATGAGTTTTTTTTTATTACACGCTTTTATTTAACTCACTCTGTTGTTGTTGTGGTTGGCGTATCCTCAAATCTTGTTACTCAATTTTAACCCACTTCTCAATGTAGTATTGACTGCAAACTTGGTATACTTATATTCTTGGTTCTTTTTAACGTAAAAAAACGCGATTTTTTTCAAATTTGATCAAAAGTGGCGGTTTTTTAACGTTAAAAAAACCGCGACTCTTTTCAAATTTGATCAAAAGTGGCGGTTTTTTTACGTAAAAAAACGCGACTTTTTTCAAATTTTATCAAAAGTGGCGGTTTTTTTAACGTAAAAAAACCCGCCACTTTTTTCAATTTTTCTTGCTGTGATTTTCACACCTGATGATGATTGCTTGTGTTGCAGTCGAAACGTCATGATAATTTGATTGTTTTATATATTTTTATTTATTCTTCTTTTATTGTTTCCCCTCTACGTGGTGACTTTACCGAAAGAACCAAGAATATGAATCCCTGCAGTCACGAAAGCTTTAAATCACCAGAGTCTCTTACGTTGTGGCAAGCTTCGGGGCCTCTTCCTGGAGTCGTGGCGTTCTGCCATTACTAGTACGGTAAATTTCATTAAAGCGTGTTTTTTTTTTTTAAAAGCATTTTTAAATATTACTTATTCATTTGAAAAATCAACCATGTACTCCTGTATACCAGTCAACAAACCTTCAAGACAGCGCAATTTAGCTGTTCTAAATTGTGTTGCTTTGAAGAATCTTGCACTTAACATTGGTATGTTATCACTTTTAATAGTTTATTATTTCTAATTTGGTCATTTTCATCATCCAGTGGCATTTGTTTAAGAGGCGGCTTTGCTCTCGATGAGACTCGCAAAGTTACCCCTGATCCAGCGTTTAGCCCCATCGGTTGATGGACATTTAATTTGTGCATTAAAACAAACCCGTGTCTATTTAAGTCACTTTTTTAGGGTCAGTGTTATGAGTACAGCATAAGCTCATCTTCAGTCCACTGCTGGATGCATTCTATTACTACTGTAGTATTTTTCAACCTTTATTTAGATAGCTACCCCCCCCCCAATCCTTATGTTAATCCTTGACGCATCAAATCCTGTATACATGACATGCGACAGCTGTTCAGGATATAAACAGTATGATTTGCTTCCCAAATAATTACAATCGAGTGAACATTCTCAATCTGCAGTGTGGTCCACATGTCTTGTGAACCCCATTTCATTCTCTAAAACTCAAATTTTTGTTTGTAAGTAAGGTTGATTTAAAACTGAAGCGAATATGCAAAGGAAACATGTTAGTGGGGGGGTCACAAGACATCTGGACCACACCTGTGACACTGCTCAACATTCTAGATTTAAAACTTTCGTGACTGCAAGGATCCATACTCTTTGGTTCTATTCGGTAAAGTCACGTAGGTAAAAAATAAAACAACAAAAATCACGACGTTTCGGCCACAACAGAAGCGGCCTTCATCAGGTAAAGGGATCAGGCTGTCTCGAGGACAGCGCTGGAGTGAAACGCAGCCACGCTCAGACCGCGGACCTTTAATCTGTGTGCGAGGAAACAAGGTGCCTTGACAAAGGAATTAGCATAAAAAATAGCATTTGATTGGCCGACTTAGCATGATGAACGGTGTAGAGGTGGTGCACATGCGGGTGAACATGCCGGTTGGCGCGGGGGGGGGGGGAGTTTACCTATTGATGGTGTGAAAAGGGAATTTTTAAGAGCTGCGAAAGTTTGGGGTACCACTACATTTTCGAATCGCGTTTCGACGACGAATACGAAACGAGGCTCGTCGCGCACCGTACTATTGCCGGAAGCGACGTCGCGCGCGCGCCGATCCGTTTTGGCGGGACGGGGATTCGGTGCGGAGGAAGCTGCCCAGCACCGCCGGCGCTGTTTGTGTCTCGCCGATATCGTACGGTAAGAACAACGGCGTTGTAACAGCGGGACATTCACAGGAGGGCGGCGGGGGGGGGGGGTTGAAACGTCTGCGGCAGCGTGCGACTTTGATCGCCCGCGACAGACCCCGTGGGTTGTTTACCGACGAAGGCTGTCGATGCCCCGGGTTCACAAACGCGACGCGGCTGGTCTGAGGGCTCGTTCGTCGACCAACTCGATGTAACAACAACAACATCATCATCATCGCTGTTTGGCTCTCCCGTCAACGTCAGCCGTACGAAGAAGGATGTTATCATGAGTTGTATTCAGCAGCTGCTATTGAACGAAAGCGACTCATGGCGGCACTGAAATAATTATTAGTAGACTTGCCTGGGCCTCTTTAACGCAAAAAAAATACTCCCCATGTAATTATTTTGTTAACAGTATGATTACGCATGCCCATCAACCGCACGGGATTCTGCATATTTATCGGCAGCATTAATTAATTGTAAGCAAGCAAACTCTGGACCGGTTTCGACGTAGGATGTCTTATCGCTTAAGCCCCGTAAGTCAATGCTGGTGAACTGTCAGATGTGATAGGTAAGGACCCTGTCTCTCTCTCTCTCCCTCTTAGACATGGGGCTGAATGTCGAAACCGGTTCGGAGTTGTGCTTGTGTTGAACCAATGCTGCTGAAATTATGCACTCCGGAAGGTCATGTGGGTGACGGGATGTGTAGAAAATGTTTGTTTTACGTGGCGGGGACATATTCTGGAGACGGGATTTGATTAGCCTTTTTTTTGTGAGTTTATGATTATTTGTGTGAAAAGGTACTCGTGGCTATGGTTATGTTCGTAAAGGTGGTTGTGATGATGATGGTGCTGTAGTACTATTTTTTATTACAATTGGGGTCGTGTGAAGATTCTATTTATGCTGATTATTATAAGTGATGATGCATGGGATGGTAATGTTTAGAAGTGGTGAAGATGCTAATACAGTATATGGCGATGATAGTTGTATTGGTTGGATTGTGATGTGCTGATGGAGGTAGTGCAATTCTGATGGCCAAAATTGTTTAATGATGGTAAACATCTTAATGTGTTATGGTTAGTGCTAATAGTCATGATGGTGTGAAGCTAAAATGACATGCTGGTGACTCAAATTTGAGACCTGGTCATCTCAATGCCATAAATAAAGGTTGAGCGTGGACATTTGTTAATGTAATTTTGACGCGTGTTATACAAGTGAATCGTCATGTAATGATGTTTTGATTTTTATGTTTTCAGATTTAATTGGACAGAAATTACCTGCATTCTTTGGTGTGATATGGACCAGAAATGTAAAGAGGTAATTACATTTTATTGGTCATATATTGCATAATGACAGCAAAACACAAACTAATTTATGCACAAGTTAACATTTTTATAAGTTGGGTCTTTTCGCATTCGTATCTTTTCGTGATGACTGTAAGTCATTTACTGCTGGGAGTGTGTGGTGATTGCGTGAAGTTTCGAGGCATCATCGGTAAAAAAGGGTTCAAACTGGGTGTTGTATATGTGCTGTTGCCCATATGTGAAGTGGGTGTTTTGGTGCCACCTGGGTTGACAAATGCGACGGGTGTTAATGTTTTTAAAGCATTTATCTCATGCCTTCACATGCATTTATGATAGCAAGGACACCATGGTGTATTTTTATTATAAATAAATATATAATTGTTTAAAATTCTTTTATATTCAAAGTTTTCCAAAAGAGGTCTTTGGATATAGAGCTTTCAGAAAATGTATCTTATGCATGTTTATTACTATCTGAAACTGAACTTAAAGCATTACTTCTGGTTGGCTTTTGATGGTTCAAAATATGTATTGGATAAACTGTACTCTCTCCTTACAACAGATTTAAATTGTAAGCCATTGCATCTCAATATTTACTCTTGTATGCTTTGCTTACTATTATTGTCCCATCCACAGTTTGCTATAAATAATATGGTTTGAGTTACAGCAGGCAAGGTCATGCAGGTAGTCTCAATTATGCATGCCGAGATTTAAATCCACGGTGCAGTGGCTTCCATTGGTTGGAATAGTACAACACAGCCTGATATACATGAGTGAAGACGAGTAAGACTGCATACTGCAAAAAGTGTGATCATGAACAATACCAACACTTATTTACAGCACTGATATGATATCTCCGAATGTGATTGTGTAATATTGCCAAATTAAATAATATGGACATAGGATTGTTGCGTCCTTTGAAAATGAATGCCGAAATATTTCAACATAAAAATGTAAGAAACGGTGCCAATTAACATGGACCTTATTACCAATTATCTTCAATTTGACCTTTGCAGAGTATATCACCATCCCTGACCGTGGAGAGTGAGATTCCTGCCAAAAAAGCCAGACAAGATCCACAATGCATTATACACTGCAGCGATGATAATACCAAATTGATATGTCCTCAAACAATGGAGTCATGGCAGACTCTCAAGAGAGCTGGTGAGGTTCGCAAAAATACAATGATATTGGCCATTACAGCAAATTTTACAGAAGGACAAATACCAAATGTGCATTACCACAGAAAATGCAGAAGCCTTTTCACCCTCAAAAGAGACCTTGACAAGATAGCGTCGAACAAAAGCCAAGAAGGAAATGTTTTAAGTGAAGAAAGAAAATCAGCTCCAAGTAGTGCATCGCAAGTGCTCGAGAAGGAATGCATATTCTGTAGAAAGAAAGATAAATATCTAAAAGGTGTAAAATCAAGAGAACAATTAGCTCAAGCATGTCAATTGAGGATAAACAGTACAATCAGGAAAGCTGCAGAAATAAAAGAAGACTCAAGAATTCTGGCTCTTCTAAGTTGCGAACTTGTTGCTGCAAAGGCTCATTATCACCGATCCTGCTACAAATCGTACACAAAACCAATAAAAGAGCCCAGGGCCAAGCCAGAGAGTGAAGATAATGAAGATACTTATACAAGGGCAGAGTCCACAGCTTTTGTGAATCTGTATAACTTCATCAGAAATGATATGTTTGTCAATAATAGTGTTATGGAGTTGTCAGAACTCACTGGTATGTTGGTAGGATGGATGAATACATTGGGTGTGCACAATGTCAAACCATCTACAAAGAAACATATACGTAGAAAGATTACTGCAGAATTTGCAGACTCTTTGTGCATGGTACACACTAAAGCAAATACGTTATTAGTGTACCCTGATAGTTTGACACGAGACCAACTTGTACTTGCAAACCATGAACTTAGAACTGAAGTTATTGCATTGAAAGCTACTGGTTCAAATGTTACCGGGAGTGATTTAAGCATAAATTAATCTTCAAACGTCTGTCAAGGAGCAATCCATGATTCAGCCATGGCCACGTAATTATTTTTAAGTTCACGAGTAACAAATATAAATACCACAACCTGTTGACACGTTTCTGCAAGATTGGCTCAATGCAGGTGAATCAGAACTTACCTAGAGATTAACCTGGTTCATGATATCTATTGCTCAGGATGTGATGTTTGGCATGAGCAGAGATAGATACAGTTCTAAGCCTGGCTGGCTAGTGATGGGTTCTTGAGAAAAGACGACATTGAATTTCTGTTATATACATGTAAAACACATGCAAAAGGGGACTTGCAAAATACACACAAATGGTAACAAATTCTCAGAACTACGTATATGAGCTGCTTCTAATAACCAACTGAAGATGGGAAAGACATCAAAATATAAAATGATGAGGAATCATACTATTTGGTTCTTTCAGTAAAGTCACGTACAGTGAGGGAAAAAAGTATTTGATCCCCTGCTGATTTTGTACGTTTGCCCACTGACAAAGAAATGATCAGTCTATAATTTTAATGGTAGGTTTATTTGAACAGTGAGAGGCAGAATAACAACAAAATCCAGAAAAATGCATATCAAAAATGTTATAAATTGATTTGCATTTTAATGAGGGAAATAAGTATTTGACCCCCTCTCAATCAGATTTCTGGCTCCCAGGTTTCTTTTATACAGGTAACGAGCTGAGATTAGGAGCACACTCTTAAAGGGAGTGCTCCTAATCTCAGCCTGTATAAAAGACACCTATCCACAGAAGCAATCGATCAGATTACAAACTTTCCACCATGGCCAAGACCAAAGAGCTCTCCAAGGATGTCAGGGACATGATTGTCGACCAACACAAGGCTGGAATGGGCTACAAGACCATTGCCAAGCAGCTTAGTGAGAAGGTGACAACATATTCTTAGCTCTTTCGGTAAAGTCACGTTGAAGGGAAACAATAAAATAATAAAATATATATGAAACAATAAAAATTCTCACGACGTTTCGACCATAACACAAACGGTCGTCATCAGGTGTGAAAAACAAACTAACGGCAAGAAACATTTTAAAGAAGTGTCGGTTTGCATTTATTTATTTTTAAACGGTGTATTTATTTATTTAAAAAACGTCAGCGCCACGCGCAGCGATTTGGCAGTTTATTTAGAAGGACGAGTCCATCTATGTTCTGAAAAGAGGAGGGGGGAGACGAAAAATTAATGTATGCTGTCTGAAAGCCACCGTAAGCGTGAACAATCAATTAAGACCTGAAATGGTTTATCAAATCCTTCCAATGATTGCTAAGCCAGAATCCATCTTCTCGGTTGAAATTGTCTCTGTGCTTGTATATGTGGATAGCCTCATGAACGAATCTCTCATGGTAGCCAGATGGCATTTTTATTGTTTTATATATATTTTATTGTTTCCCTTCAACGTGACTTTACCGAAAGAGCTAAGAATATGAATTACTGCAGTCACGAAAGCTTTAAATCAAAAGGTGACAACAGTTGGTGCGATTATTCGCAAATGTAAGAAACACAAAAGAACTGTCAATCTCCCTCGGCCTGGGGCTCCATGCAAGATCTCACCTCGTGCAGTTGCAATGATCATGAGAACGGTGAAGAATCAGCCCAGAACTACATGGGATGATCTTGTCAATGATCTCAAGGCAGCTGGGACCTTGCTCCAGACTAAGGTCTGGAGCAAGGCTAGGCCACTAAGGTCTGGAGCAAGGCAAAAATAATGGAGGGAGCTGAAGGTTCGAGTTGCTAAACGTCAGCCTCGAAACCTTAATGACTTGGAGAAGATCTGCAAAGAGGAGTGGGACAAAATCCCTCCTGAGATGTGTGCAAACCTGGTGGCCAACAACAAGAAACGTCTGACCTCTGTGATTACCAACAAGGGTTTTGCCACCAAGTACTAAGTCATGTTTTGCAGAGGGGTCAAATACTTATTTCCCTCATTAAAATGCAAATCAATTTATAACATTTTTGACATGCGTTTTTCTGGATTTTGTTGTTATTCTGTCTCTGTTCAAATAAACCTACCATTTAAATTATAGACTGATCATTTCTTTGTCAGTGGGCAAACGTACAAAATCAGCAGGGGATCAAATACTTTTTTTTCCCTCACTGTAGATACAAATATAAATAAAACAAAACATAATATCTTATTGGTTATTTTGGTAAAGTCATGTAGAATGAGAATAAAATAATAAATTGATTAAATAAAATAATAATATTCTCACGACGTTTCGGCCACAACATAAGTGGCCTTCATCAGGTGAAGGGACGAGACTGTCTCGAAATGTCGTGAGAATTTTATTGTGTTATTTTATTAATTTATTATTTTATTCTCATTCTACGTGACTTTACCGAAAGAACTAAGATGAAAGCTTTAAATCAAAAACATAATATTTTGATTTAAAGCTTTCGTGACTGCAGTGATTCATATTCTTGGTTCTTTCGGTAAAGTCACGTCGAAAGGAACAATAATAAAAAATATATTGTTTTATATATATATATTTTATTGTTTCCCTTCAACGTGACTTTACCGAAAGAACCAAGAATATTAAACATAATATATCACGACGTTTCGATCGCAACACAAGCGGTCGTCCTCAGGCGGAAAAAATAATCCAGCAGTGGAGGTGCTGAACCAGCGAGAGAGCTGTTACAACAAGAGGTAAAATAACAGCTCTCTCGCTGGTTCAGCAATTCCACTGCTGAGAGAGCTGTTACAACAAGGTTATATATGGTTATACATGTTGTAACAGCTCTCTCGCTGGTTCAGCGGTGGAACTGCTGCATTATTTTTTCCGCCTGAGGACGACCGCTTGTGTTGCGATCGAAACGTCGTGATATATTTTTTGTTTTATTTTATTTTTGTACCTACATGACTTTACCGAAAGAACCAAAGAGTATAGATTCCTGCAGTCACAAAAACTTAAAATCAATATTGATGAGGAATCATTCTTATTATTTATAATTGCCATCAGAAATTGTTATAGTTATAGAAAAATTTGGATGAAGTTTGTATTTACATCATCTTGGGCCATGGTACTGAAGTATCTAACAGTGTTTAAGTACAATAAAAATGACATTCTCATATACATCTTGTAACTATCTTTCATTTGCATACGTGTTCATTGTGAATTTAAGTTCATTATTGCTTGAAAAATGTTAAGCCCTTGTAATACAATGAATAAAACGTTTTTGAGAAAAAATGTGTTCATATTTCCTGTTTGTTTTGTGTTAAAATGTACTTTAAATGGCCCCGAGCACTTTAATATCCATAAAACATTCATAAGTCATACATTTAGTGAGATACCTACACATCTTTCTTTCCAAAATGTGACGTGACAATTTGTCCAAAAACTTGCTGTTGCTATACAAAGCAATATATAAGCCAGTCCACTCTAGGCAGAAAGCTTAGCGTATACACTGTCTTGTTTAGTCTAAAAACCATTTATTTACAAATTACACAGATGTTACCGTTCATGTTTTTTGCTGAAACTATTATTTAAAGACTTTTTTTCTCATACAAATCTGGGATGACCTTGCTATTACAGCTGTGGTTTAAAGATAAATTCTCCGAAGAAAATAATTGCTGGTATTTCCACCCAGGGGTTGTATTGATAAGCCACGTTTGACCAATGGCTTGAGGACTGTAAAAAGTGTGCTGAGTCATAGAGCAGAACACAGACTAAAATGGTAAAATTGTCTGCTATTGCTGTTCTGGTAATAAGCACACTACACTGGCTTTAGCTGTTCAGCTTCAATTCCTGACCATTTGCAACTTCAGTGGCAATTGGAATGTCCCCTGTTCTTTTATTCGGTAAGCTTTGCCTAAAATGAACGTGATAGTCATGCTTGGGAGTTAAGTATTGACATGGTGTTGACCTCACTTATCCACATTGTGTTTGGCCATAATAGCCTAAATAAGCAATACTTATCAACCCCTGACCGGGAAGTTAACTCTACCTTCTAGTTTGTGAGTCACACATGCGCAGCACTGTACCACTCTTGTCAGATACAAATATATTCAACTACAAAATATTCTCAATCAATTGGTTTGCTGTATGTTTTTTATCTAGATCTCCTTTGAAAACTGAGTTTTTGGTTTCTATGGGTTTTCATCTGGTTATTAATTTACCAGAAGGATTCTAGCATGATTTTTGGAGTATGGGGTGATGTAATCCCAATTTAGTAATTTGAAGGTAACTTTTCAGCCATAGGATGTCTGCCTAATACTATACATGTGTTTTTAGCTATGGAGGAAACCAGAGAACCTGGTGGAAACCCCACACAGGTGCTCGAGTTGCGAATTGAACTCGGGACTTTCGCTTTGAGGCACAAGTGTTACGACTATGCCACCTTACGGTTATAAATTAAATCGACCTAGAACCCACAGAAAAATCTCCAATGCAGGGTTCTTCAACTGACAGCCCGCGGGCCTGATGTGGTCAGTGAAGGCTCTTGGAGTGGCCTGCTGAGAAATTTTGGTCACCGAGATGTAAAGCGATACAGCTTAGTGAGATAAGAGATACAAATGGAGAGCCGTATACAAGATAAAGATTTGTGTGAAGAAAGAGAAATGAGAGAGCTGAAGAAATTAAGTACGCATAAATGGTCTCGATCAGTGGCAGTTGGTGTCTATATATAATGGAGGGGCAGATAGGGGAAAGAGAGAGGGAGGGAGGTGTATGCAGATTATAATTAGCAGGTAAACACTGTTTCGGTCAAGTTTTTTTTCATATTGGACTTAAGTTTATTTAACTAGGTAAACTCATTCTCATCCCCACCAGCCTCTAATAACGAGCCACCACTGGCTCACAAGTACAAACATCATTTCGTGACTGCATTGATTCATATTCTTGGTTCTTTCAGTAAAGTCACGTTGAAGGGAAACAATAACATAATAAAATATATAGGTGTGAAAACCACCTGATGATGACTGCTTGTGTTGCAGTCGAAACATCGTGAGAATTTGATTGATTTATATATATTTTATTGTTTCCCTTCAACGTGACTTTACCGAAAGAACCAAGAATATAATACAAACATGATGTTAGGAAACCATGTGACAGCATAACGTTCACTCGTGACGCTAAGAGACACCATGTGACACGATGTCACAAGGCTTACCAGCACGTGGCAATGTTATGCGGCCTGCCAGAAAATATAGCTGAAGGACCGTGCTGTAAGGCAAAATCCTTGTCTGCTTCACACAGGTGCGGGAATGGCTGAGCCAGGTGCTGGGGGAGCAGCCCATGCCACTGTTCGAGGACAACGTCCACACCGTCGAGCTGCTGCACAGCCTCATGCAGCAGAACCGTGAGCACGATCGCTGCAACGCTCTCCTCCTCGAAGACTACAAGCAGAAGTCCCTGGAGTACCAACTGGAGGGTAGGCCTCTCGGCGGGGGATGCAGGGGCCAGAGCCGCCCTGTAATTACGCTTTTAAGCATGGTGCAGGGCATGCAACGACCCATCGAATCGTCAATTCCTGTCGATTCAAACTCATGATACATGGGTCGGATTGTTCATGTAGAGATTGATTATATATTTACGATGTTCAATATTGCATGCGATATTACGTGCAAATGTTAGAATTGACCAAGGGAGTGAATTATTACACCTGTGGTAAAGTTGATTTGAAGTTTAATTTGATAATTGTAACATCGCCTACACTTATTACACCAACTAATGTGACGCGATCCATTGTAAATCATTTCAAAACCTATACTTTTGCTGAAACATACTGTAAATCTGAAGCTGACCAGTTAATTTATTCTTGGCCTTTGTGAATGATAGAAGTTGTGAAAATTAATATAGATTCTGATATACACGTTAATCAAACTGATGCGAATGAGCGAGTGAATATTGAACTGAAAGACACATTTACCATGGCACTCTTCCAGCATTATGCATTGCGTAGACAGTAAATATATTTACAAATAACCACAAATCAAGGCATTGATTATTGAATACCGTGAGACAAATCATTTCTAAAATTAGGTAAGTAAAACAGAATTTTAAACAAGATCACTCTTGAATTAATAAAGCATGTGCTGTCTTATCTGCAATATATCAAAATATTTTATATTATCAACAGTTAAATTTCCAGTGCAGTTGGAATCGATGAGTAGCGGTACGCAAGGGGGTGCTTTTGTCCTACTCGGGTCAACAACCAAAATAATGAGCCATTTGTTTCGAATTCGGTAAAAAAAATACCTCAACATTTCAAGAGCTGCAATGCACGTGAATAACAGTCACGAAGCAGTCCTTAAAGAGCCGCATGCAGCTCTGGAGTTGCAGGTTGTCGACCCCTGGTTCCATACGAGTATATATGTATGCTGAACTTCTTTCGCACCGTACCTAGCCAACCGGGCTAATCGGAGGTGTGTGGGAAGGACAACAAACTTAAGCACAAAAAAGCAGTTCTAAAGAAATGAGTTTTCAATCTAGATTTAAAAGTGCATAGTTCCAGTGGATTCCTAATAGCAGAAGGAAGATCGTTCCAGACAGCCGCAGAAACGCATCTGATGGCGCACAATGCAATGACCGAGTGTGCGTGTGCGTCTGTGCTCTTGCCCAGCCGAGCGCCTGCAGCAGCTGCTGATGGACGCGGTGGGTGTGTCCCCATCGGCCCTGTCCTCTAGCAGCACTAGCAGCCTGCAGGCCATTGTCCAGAGTGCCATGGTCCTGGAGTTGAACAGCACTTCAGAGAGCAGGTGCAGTCAATTCCCTATGCGAAGGGAAGGGTGGCCCAGATCATATTTTAAAAATATATGGATAATATATTCTTGGTTCTTTCGGTAAAGTCACGTAGAAGGGAAACAATAAAATAAAAATATATAAACAATAAAATTATCCCGACGTTTCGACTGCAACACAAGCAATCATCATCAGGTATGAAACCCACAGCAAGAAATTTGGAAAAAAAGTTGGCGGGTTTTTTTTACATTAGCACCACGGAGAACAATTTGGCAGTTATTCAGATGGAAGAGTCCATCTATGTTCGGAAAAGAGGAGGGGGGAGACGAAAATAATGGTTGCGGTCTGAAAGCCACCGTAAGCGTGAACAATCAATTAGGACCGGAAATGGTTTATCAAATCCTTCCAATGATTACTAAGCCAGAATCCATCTTCTCGGTTGAAATTGTCTCTGTGTTTGTATATGTGGATAGCCTCATGAACGAAATCTCCCATGGTAGCCAGATGGCTTGCAAAGAACCTCTGTCTTGGAGAAGTCAATGTCATGACATATAACAACAATAATCCCTGATTGTCGTACACTACATTACAAAAAAACAATCCCACGAACAGGCTCAGAGGAATTTAGGGCGCGTTGAGGACACAATGAGGTCGTTTGGATGTGGCACCATTCCGGATTTGTCCTTGCTTCATATGAGCGCGGCTCTTGCTGATCGTGATGCCGAGTCCTGCTCGACACCTCACGCATCACCTTCGTCGACATGTTGGCAGCTCGCAGCCTGAACTATTTTCTCCCTGTTCTATTTCACCAGATAAAGGCCCGCTGAGCGATGTAGCTCTTTTATGAGACGCGACCTGGCGAACCGCGAACGAATCATGGTAGCCAGAATCTCTCATGGTAGCCAGTCAATGTCATGTGAACCTACTGAATTATAACAGTGATCTGCCACGGCCGAGGTGTTGGTTCTACCGTGTTTCAGGTCTGCTTTGTGTTCACGAATGCGGTCCGAGACATGTCGTTTGGTTTCTCCAATGTAACTACTACCACAGAGGCAACTTAGTTTGTAGACGCCAGGGTACTGTATGTCCGGAATCACATCTTTTACAGACAGAACCAGATCACAGATTTTATGTAATGTGTTGAATCGGACCTGGATCTTGTGTTTATTCAAGATTTTGGAGATCTTTTTTGTGATCCCCGCAATGTAGGGTAAAGTGATGGTTTTGAAAGGCTCCTCAAGAGGGTCCTTCTTCATGGTTGGAGTGACTTTACCGAAAGAACCAAGAATGAGAACTGTTTGGTTTGATCAATTAATGCGGTTGAATCAGAAATTATTTTGTTGATTTATATGACGAGGCTGTTTGTGGGATCTCTTTTTATTTTTGTATAGCTGCCATCGTTGAGTAATTCTTGAATTTTGTTGTTATATTCTATTTTATCCATGATGACAGTGGCATTGCCCATGTCAGCTGAGAGGATGACAATGTCATCCCTCTTTTTTAATTTATATAATTCAATATGCTCATCTTTGCTGAGGTTGCAAGCTGGCATTTTAGTGTTTTTTAGGGTTGCAGCGATTTCAGATCTTGCTACGTCTGCAGCGATGTGACCCAGGACCTTGAGAGCCACGTCTACTTGGGCAATGATATCATTAACTGGTATGTGTATAGGTGTGACTGCAAAGTTTAGCCCTTTAGCTAAAAGGGATTTCAGACCATCGGAAATATAACTGTTACTGCGATTAATTCCGACTTTGTTAACGTCTAGCTTTTTGGTGTGTGGGTCCGGTCTTTTGTTGGAGAGGAGGTTAAATTTGGAAATCAGGTTGTCCTTACATTTGGTCGACATAGTGGCAGCTGAAGAGGCAGTCATATTGTCTACATGTTCCCAATCGGATGTGGACATTGTTGCCGTCAATTATAAGTGTGATTTGTAGAGTGTCTTGTCTAACTGATCTAGTTCGGTGCGTATAAGTCTGATTTTCTCTGAGATAAGAGCTAAGCTAGTTCTGGAAAGAATTCATTTCGCATTAGAATAAGTTACAGCAGCAGAGGTCAGTGTAAATGCGATTGATATTACCCCAGAGTCGCGGCATCTCTTCAGAAAGGTGAGAGACTCGATCAGATGAGCCTTCTTATCCCGCAGTTTGTTGAAGGATCTCAAAGTTATGTGGAAACCCTCCCCGTAGAGGCAGTTAAATTTTGATTTAAAGCTTTCGTGACTGCAATGATTCATATTCTTGGTTCTTTCGGTAAAGTCACATAGAAGGAAAACAATACTTAATAAAAATATAAAAAATAAAATTATCACGATGTTTCGACTGCAACACAAGCAATCATCATCAGGTGTAAAAACCACAGCAAGAAAATCAGGACAACCTGATTTCCAAATTTAACCTCCTCTCCAACAAAAGACCGGACCCACACACCAAAAAGCTAGACGTTAACAAATTCGTAATTAATCGCAGAAACAGTTCTATTTCCGATGGTCTGAAATCCGTTTTAGCTAAAGGGCTAAACTTTGCAGTCACACCTAAACACATACCAGTTAATGATATCATTGCCCAAGTAGACGTGGCTCTCAAGGGCCTGGGTCACATCGCTGCAGACGTAGCAAGATCTGAAATCGCTGCTACCTTCAAAAACGCTAAGATGCCAGCTAGCAACCTAAGTAAAGATGAGCGTTTTAAATTATATAAATTAAAAAAGAGGGATGACATTGTCATCCTCTCAGCCGACAAGGGCAATGCCACTGTCATCATGGATAAAATAGAATATTACAACAAAATTCAATAATTACTCAACGATGGCAGCTATACAAAAATAAAAGTGATCCCACCAACAGACTCCGTCATACAAACCAACAAAATCATTTCTGATTCAACCTGCTTTAATTGATCAAACCAAACAGTTCTCGTTGAAACCTTTTTCTGCCAGGCCACCAAGATTATAGAGCGTACCAAAAATACATGAAGTAGATACACCCCTTCGTCCCATCGTCTCTACTATCAACTCCCCCACCTACAAACTGGCTCGTTTTCTGTCTGAAATCCTGCAGCCTTTCATTGGAAAAACCACCTCTGCGGTACAAAATTCTACTCACCTGGTATCGACAATCACGGGTATTTCCCTGTCCCCAGACGACATGCTTGTCAGTTTTGATGTAGTTTCCTTATTCACCAAAGTTCCTGTACCTGACACCATCGCAATCATTGAAGACTTGGTTCATCAAGGACTAAACACTGAGGTACCCCCCCTGGTGAGACACTGCTTAACCAATACATACTTCACTTGGAATGGAACTTTCTACAAACAAACTGAAGGCATCCCAATGGGCTCCCCCCTATCTCCAGTTGTAGCCAACATTTTCATGGAGAAATTTGAGATTGACGCCATCCAGACTGCCACTCTGCGCCCAACCTTATGGAAGAGGTACGTGGATGACACTTTTTTTGTCATCTGGCCACATGGCCGGCCTGCTCTAGACCAATTCCTCGACCACATCAATTCCATACACCCAGCCATCAGATTTACCATGGAAGTCGAAAAAGATGGCAAGCTACTTTTTTTGTATGTCCTAATAAAAAAGAGACCTGATGGTTCAATAAGCCAGTCTGTCTACAGGAAAGCTACCCATACGGATGATTATCTGAAACCGGATTCCCACCACCATCCATCCCAGAAGAATTCCCTCATCAAGACTCTGCACCATAGAGCCCAATCCATATCCGACCAGGAACACATAGCCAGTGAACTCAAGCACGTACACCAAGCTCTTAAAGCTAATGGTTACTCCGACTACACAATCCGCAAAGCTATCACTCCAACCATGAAGAAGGACCCTCTTGAGGAGCCTTTCAAAACCATCACTTTACCCTACATTGCGGGGATCACAAAAAAGATCTCCAAAATCTTGAATAAACACAAGATCCAGGTCCGATTCAACACATTACATAAAATCCGTGATCTGGTTCCGTCTGTAAAATATGTGATTCTGGACATACAGTACCCTGGTGTCTACAAACTAAGTTGCCTCTGTGGTAGTAGTTACATTGGAGAAAGCAAACGACATGTCTCGGACCGCATTCGTGAACACAAAGCAGACCTAAAACACGGTAGGACCAACACCTCGGCTGTGGCAGATCACTGTTATAATTCAGTAGGCTCACATGACATTGACTTCTCCAAGACAGAGGTTCTTTGCAAGCCATCTGGGTACCATGAGAGATTCGTTCATGAGGCTATCCACATATACAAACACAGAGACAATTTCAACCGAGAAGATGGATTCTGGCTTAGCAATCATTGGAAGGATTTGATAAACGATTTCGGGTCTTAATTGATTGTTCACGCTTACGGTGGCTTTCAGACCGCACCCATTATTTTTGACTCCCCCCTCTTTTCCGAACATAGATGGACTCGTCCATCTGAATAACTGCCAAATCGCTCTCCGTGGTGCTAACGTTAAAAAAAACTGCCACTTTTTTTCAAATTTTCTTGCTGTGGTTTTCACACCTGATGATGATTGCTTGTGTTGCAGTCGAAACGTCATGAGAATTGTATTGTTTTAAATTTTTATTGTTTCCCTTCTACGTGACTTTACCTAAAGAACCAAGAATATGAATCCCTGCAGTCACAAAAGCTTTAAATCAAAATTGATATGGATAATGTTAAACATGTAATTTGTGGCCTACTTTGCCAGTACCGAAATATGAGAATAGGTTTTCCCCTTTTTTCTGGTCTAACGCCTTTTGGCGTTCTCTGGTCTTACACCATTTGAAACTAGGCTCCATAGAAAGCTGTCTCTGGTGTGGACCATCAGTTTCAAATACAATGCATATATTATCAGAGTGTTTTTTTTTTGCATTCTGACCACAAGTATTGTGGTTAATGCAGACGTGATTCCTTGTAAAAGGTTTCAGTTTGGTGTTTTAACATCTTAACACCTGTTTTGTTGCCAGAAAAAAGGAGAAAACCTATTCTCATGTAATATGTGTAATATAAACCCCCATATTACCAGCAAGGCCATTTAGAATTTCAGCCAATGAGGGTGAAGATGTAGAATGTGACATCTGTTTTTATTTCTTCCTTAAAATTATCGTTTGCCTGACGACGTGTTTGCGGTCACGTTGGTATTGCGAGCACGGTCATGTGAAATCTGGATAAATCACCAACAGATAGTTAACTGCAGGCATGTAACTACTATTGCATATTCTTGGTTCTTTCGGTAAAGTCACGTAGAAGGGAAACACCTGATGATGATTGCTTGTGTTGCAGTCGAAACGTCATGATAATTTTATTTTTTATTTTTTTATTGTTTCCCTTCTACGTGACTTTACCGAAAGAACCAAGAATATGAATCCCTGCAGTCACAAAAGCTTTAAATCAAAATACTATTGCATAATTAAGTATGTAGGTGTATGAAATTCCTGATTCAATATAAATTATATATGTATATGTAATATTCACAAAAACAGTATTCCCGTTCCACACAAGTTTTCTCTTGTGAAACATTCACAATTTATCTTGAGGTTGGTTGTGTTTGTTGACTGTGAACCGTGCGTGTCGCGATTTCTGTGTAGCCTCATGCAAGCGATAAGCGAGCTGAAGGCGGAGGCGGAGGAGGTACGGGTGGAGAAGGAGGCGGAGGAGCGCCTGGTGAAACGTCTGGCCAGCAAGGCAGCGGCCGCTTTTACTCAGCAGGAGCAGCTAAAGCTGTAGGTGGCGCACATCTCACATTACCAGCCGACAGGTGCCAATGACTTTAGTCTTTCCGTGACTGTTTGCGCAGCCACTACGTGTATGTAAAATCTCTTGTGAATGTTCCCACTTCACTGACATGGTCGAGTAGATCATTGTGCATTGATGAATTAGCCACCCAACTCACCAAAGTGGCCACTAACAGATAGCGTATAACGTATTATACAGAAACTAGTCATTGTAAGCCCCCTGCGCAAATATCAGCTGAATACATTATTGACCAAATTATTTGAGAATCATATTTATTTATACTGGGGGACTGCATTTCTGTGTACTCCTCAATAGACTCACCGCAGTCAGTCAACTCACTGCAGTTAGCCATTCGTGTTGTTGCGTGTAGCAGGGGAAAGAGTTGGTACTCCCACCTCTTTGTGTCCGCTGTTTGTGCAACTGTGTGCGTGTGTGCTCACGTTGACTGTGGGGCACCACGGTGGTATCCAGGAGGTCGTGGGTTCGATACCAACCCTGACGCCTGTATTTTTGGAGTTTGCATTTGGAGTGTGCATGTTCTCCCCATGGTTGCGTGGATTCTTCTCCAGGTCCTCCGGTTTTTTTCTCCACATTTAGAAACATGCATTTTGGAGTACAGTATTTGGCTGCTATATTTCAATGTGATTAGCCACTTCTTTGAGCGATCATTTGCGTCCAGGTCGCTTCTGAAAGATAGCTAACAGCCCAGTGGGCTTCATCTGGTGAAATAAAATAGTTACGAGTTTAAATGTCTGGCCACAATGGAAGAGGTGGCCAAATACCCTCTGGAGTGGCTCTTGAGCTGCCCATAGTGGAAGCCTTTCTGCCAAAAGTGGCGTGAGTAAGTAAAGGTCGGGCTGCTGCTGCACCCTTTACCTTTCATTTGTGCAGGGACTTGGCACGGGTGGAGCAGGACGCAGAAGTAGAAAATGCCAAGAAACAGAGATACCTGCAGCTCACCGACTTCCTGCAGAGGAAAAGCGTGGACTACAGAGTACAGTTAAAGTCTGCCCAGGTCGTTCCATCCATCCTGCTTTGCTAACCTAAATGCATGTCTGTTTTTTTCTATCGGGAGAAAAGTATTTTAAAAGCACACCTTTAAACACAATTTGCATGACGATAGCAACTATGCCGGCAATGTTATTGCAATGTTATTGTGTTTTATATTGGTGTGTTATTTCCTTTCAGGTGAAACTGGCTGCATCTGGCGTAGATCCATCTCTGTACCACCAGTCACTGGTCACAAAGGGGGAGGTAAAAACTATAATAATATTATATTCTTGGTTCTTTCGGTAAAGTCACGTAGAAGGGGAAACAATAAAATAATTATATATATGATTGCTTGTGTTGCAGTCGAAACGTCGTGAGAATTTTATTGTTTTATATATTATTATTTTATTGTTTCCCTTCTACGTGACTTTACCGAAATAACCAAGAATATGAATCCCTGCAGTCACGAAAGCTTTAATTTATATTAATATTGCTTATTTATCCAGTAAATACTCACGTGTGGGATAGCACAAATGTCCCATCATTTTGACTCAGTGGTCTAAATGACAAAATAGTCACACGTTCAGTTATTTTGAGTTGGTGGTCTGGATAAGCTTTTGTACATGCAAATGCGCACCTTTGTGTGTTGTTGAATCTACTTCCTGAGTCCCAACACGTTTTGCGAGCACCCAAAGTAACCCCATGCATTATTAGGGCACAGAGGTCCGCACAGATGAATTGGTGAGTCTACTTTCCTGCCATCTCTTGGAAACCTCGTAGCCCGGTGAGGTTGGGTGTTTCACAAATAAACATGAACCACCAATTCTTACCCTGGATTACAGGGCCCTGCACACTGTAGACAAAAACTATAATCGACTCAGCCTCAAAAGGACGAGTACATGAAAAAGTGCTTGAATATTTAAATGTAAGAGAAAATGTACTTGAACATAACACCAAATAGACACATTTTCTGACATTATACATGTGTAAAAGTGTCTAAAAATATCTTAATATTTTCCAGGAACTTACCAAACTCAAGAAGAAAGTTTCTACCCTAAAAGCGGAGCTGAACGTTTATAAGGATCTCCCCCCGGTGATTTAAAAGGCTTTTTTTATTTTAAAACATCTATGATTGAATGCATGCACAGTGCCATAGAGCAGTGTCGAGTGAATCCACGTATGGATTGTCAGCCCCTCTATGATAAACATGCCCAGAACAATCATTCAGTCTGACAGACGATCAGGGCTTCCTCCCTTTTATAGGGAGCAAGCAGGCAGCGAGCTGTATAGGAGCGTTGCTTGCCATTAATATTTAGTGCCTGCGTTTTAGTCTTGGCTATACAATTTCAGGCGTCCAAAGTCGAGTCGTTAAAATGTATGTGAATTTTCATTTTCCTTAGAGTCGAACGCTTGCAAAAGTTATAGTTTGGAAACATCCAATATATTTATTTTTGTATATATTTGTAATGCTTCTTAATTATGTATTCTCACTTTCCATTTTACAGAATGTGTCACTGGCAAGAATTAAAATTGAGGAAGCCAAGAGAGAACTGGTAGGTTTCTAATGTTTGCAGGGAATTTAATTTAATTGGCACTGGTCGCGAGTCCCTGAAAGTATGTCACTACTTATTTAACCCACAAATGTTTTTCCAGCCATATACAGTGAGGGTAAAAAGTATTTGATCCCCTGCTGATTTTGTACGTTTTCCCACTGACAAAGAAATGATCAGTCTATAATTTTAATGGTAGGTTTAATTGAACAATGAGAGACAGAATAACAACAAAAAAACCCAGAAAAACGCATGTCAAAAATGTTATAAATTGATTTGCATTTTAATTAGGGAAATAAGTATTTGACCCCCTCTCAATCAGAAAGATTTCTGGCTCCCAGGTGTCTTTTATACAGGTAACGAGCTGAGATTAGGAGCACACTCTTAAAGGGAGTGCTCCTAATCTCAGCTTGTTACCTGTATAAAAGACACCTGTCCACAGAAGCAATCAATCAATCAGATTCCAAACTCTCCACCATGGCCAAGACCAAAGAGCTCTCCAAGGATATCAGGGACAAGATTGTAGACCTACACAAGGCTGGAATGGACTACACGACCATTGCCAAGCAGCTTGGTGAGAAGGTGACAACAGTTGATGCAATTATTCGCAAATGGAAGAAACACAAAAGAACTGTCAATCTCCCTCGGCCTGGGGCTCCATGCAAGATCTCACCTCGTGGAGTTGCAATGATCATGAGAACGGTGAGGAATCAGCCCAGAACTACACGGGAGGACCTTGTCAATGATCTCAATGCAGCTGGGACCATAGTCACCAAGAAAACAATTGGTAACACACTACGGTGTGAAGAACTGAAATCCTGCAGCGTGCGCAAGGTCCCCCTGCTCAAGACAGCACATATACATGCCCGTCTCAAGTTTGCCAATGAACATCTGAATGATTCAGAGGACAACTGGGTGAAAGTGGTATGGTCAGATGAGACCAAAATGGGTCTCTTTGGCATCAACTCAACTCGCCATCCCCACCGTCAAAGATGGAGGTGGAAACATTATGCTTTGGGGGTGTTTTTCTGCTAAGGGGACAGGACAACTTCACCGCATCAAAGGGACGATGGACGGGGCCATGTACCGTCAAATCTTGGGTGAAAACCTCCTTCCCTCAGCCAGGGCATTGAAAATGGGTCGTGGATGGGTATTCCAGCATTACAATGACCCAAAACACACGGCCAAGGCAACAAAGGAGTGGCTCAAGAAGAAGCACATTAAGGTCCTGGAGTGGCCAACCAGTCTCCAGACCTTAATCCCATAGAAGATCTGTGGAGGGAGCTGAAGGTTCGAGTTGCCAAACGTCAGCCTCGAAACCTTAATGACTTGGAGAAGATCTGCAAAGAGGAGTGGGACAAAATCCCTCCTGAAATGTGTGCAAACCTGGTGGCCAACTACAAGAAACATCTGACCTCTGTGATTGCCAAAAAGGGTTTTGCCACCAAGTACTAAGTCATGTTTTGCAGAGGGGTCAAATACTTATTTCCCTCATTAAAATGCAAATCAATTTATAACATTTTTGACATGCGTTTTTCTGGATGTTGTTGTTATTCTGTCTCTCACTGTTCAAATAAACCTACCATTACAATTATAGACTGATCATTTCTTTGTCAGTGGGCAAATGTACAAAATCAGCAGGGGATCAAATACTTTTTTTCCCTCACTGTATCCTTTATTCTGGCTCGCTCATATAGTACATTGCCTTCTGATGCAAGTAAAGTTCATGATGTTTAACCAGAAGGTGAGAACTCAAGAGACCAGCATGAGCCTAATTTTCAAGAGTGACCTGGGTTGCCAAAATAAAAAAAAGCAAAACAAATAAAACTTTCTTTGCATCAATGAAGCAAATAGGAAAACAGAGTAAAAAACAACTGTAGTGAGAAATCGAAAAGAATGCACAAAGTATAAATCAATGTTCAATAATGAATTCCCTGTAGCATGTCAGCTCAAATTATTTTTAGACTTTTCTCAGTCTTTTTTTCCCAATGTTGTCTCTCTACAGGCTGCCCTGGACAAGGAACTTGAGGAGGATTTCCAAAACTTCTGAAAATATACTTCGTGCTGGCATTGAAACCATTTCCATCCTTGCGTTCGTACATTTCTTGAGCTCACCAGGAAGGTGTTGACATTCAAGAGAACCCGTCTCATTCTCTCTCGAATACCGAGTTATAACAGGATAGATATAACTCAAGCTAACATTTTCAGGCAAGAAACCTTCAGTGGCCTTTCTTATAAGTGGTCTGCCATTGTTCGAACCGTTAGCCTTTTATATGTTTTTCCTAGCAAAGTGTGGGTCGTGAGGGTTATTTGGACTATTTTACCATGCTAACCAGTTAGGGTTGGTAAAGGCATTGTTTTGATTTAAAGCTTTCGTGACTGCAGGGATTCATATTCTTGGTTCTTTCGGTAAAGGCACGTAGAAGGGAAACAATAAAATAATAAAAATATAAAACAATACAATCCTCACGACGTTTATTGTTTCCCTTCTACGGGACTTTACCGAAAGAACCCAGAATATAAAGGCATTGTCGTTGCAAGCTTTGCAGAGTACAACAATGTAATCTGCTGACAGTGTAGCATCGGCAGCAATCTACAAACACCGGTTTAATGCAAGGTTGGTCACCCACCAAAATACTATCCAGGCCCAAAGCTGCTTAGCTTCTAGGATTTGATAAGATCGGGCATTCAAATCGAAAAGCATTCATTCTTACGTGATTCGGTGCCATGCATCGTGATCTTCAAAGATATATGAATCGATACATCATCACATTAATAATATTTATATAAATAGGATATTAAAGTTGGATTTATTCCAAGTCCTTGTAAATTGTTTCATTAATTACTCTTCATAAAAACCTTATGTTTAAAAACCCTGGCTTTGATTTTGTCACTGGATGCAAGGATTTGGTATGCGTTGGTGACTCGTTCTCAACTTGTGATCAGATTGGTTGTGTGTCCCTCCTGCCCTTGGACAGATTATATTTTGTTTTGCACCAATTTATAATAGAATTTTGAAACCCAAGGTAAAGTCTTATTTTCTTCGTGCATTAATCAACTTTAAAAAAAATCTAGAGAACGTGTTAGAAAGTGACAAAGCTTTATTTTGGTAGTTCATCGAATGGAGTATATAAAAAAGATACTAAAACGTGTTATATAATACACTTTACATCACGCACCAGTCACAACACCGCCACAACCACCCAGTCAACTTAACAGGACAAAGTTTGCTTGAAAATGTATTGATGATGATGCTGCATATATCTTCACTCATTGCAAGATACCGTAATGTGGATTTTTTAAAGTAACTTTTTAAAAATATATATATAAAAAAATCAACAATAACCTAAATCTGTCAGTATGTAAAATGCCTAAAGTAAATGTACGTAAAATAGTATTGCATTTAAATTATGTTACAATACCTGCAGTGATCTGGCCATCATTTGCATTCTCATGATTTCAAAAATAAATTTAAATATGCGGGGAATGAAGATCGCAGCTGTAACAATGAGAATAAAACACTTAAAAACATAGTCATCTCTTATAAAAGTTACATTTATGCAACGTTAACACTGGGCATACTGTACTCACAAGAGAACCGGTCCTTATCCATAGACGTAAATGCCTACGCACCCACATAAGACGACTGCTTAATATCCATGCACAGCTGGCAAGCTTAAATACAATAACGGATAGCTGCATCTGTACAAACATGTGTGCACAATGGCTCTCTTCTGTGCGGTCACGGACACAGCACGCATTTAACACGCCCTGCTTGATGACAAATTAACCCTGGCCACACACACAGCGCCTTTTCGTGGCTTGATGCCAACCTGCATCGTGCCACAAAGACCAATATTGGCATCGGGCAGAGGACAGTACCAATTTTGCTTTGTTATGGGTGTCGCGTCTTCTTTGCTTGTGTCGGAGGTATGTCCAGCATTGTGAGTCCCCCCGCAATGCATTTGAATGGTGTGTCCTCCACATGGTGCCAATTAAGCTGCTGTGTATGTACAAGTATAGCCCTTTTTGTCTTTCCACTGCTGGATAAGGGCCTCCCCACACCTTATGCAGGCTGTGGGGGTTATGCGATCATACATCATTGTGCTCGTCGATGCGTGTTGGTGAAGACGAGGGGCACAGACGTGGGAGCGTTGGAATACAGTACGGCAATAGATTCTGCTCCACTGACCTCACCACGTCGCCCCCGCAGTCTATGGCAACCTGTTTGTGTATGGCAGTCACCAATACAGCACTACTCAACGCTCATCTTTGCTTAGCTTCTGCATTCTGAGTGATATGGCAACGTGTGCACATGAAAGCAATACAACGCGGCGTTTTGAGTTGAGTCGCAGGACTGGGAATTGTGTTTCATTGGGCATGACGGGCTAACGGATGTTCTTCATGCTACAACCCACCGCGAGTCTCCATGCAACTATCTACCCACACTTACACACGACAGCACATGTCGATGTTGAACCTAGGTGTTACGGTACGATGTATGGCGAGTACAGATATAACTTGACTATAAAGACCGTGAGCACCTTGGTGGGTTACTGATAATCGCTGTGTGTGTGCGTGCACTCTAAAAGGCAACAAGGGAACTGCTGCAAGCAAAGGCTGAATGCTGTAGATTTTCTATACCACTTGGTTCTCAACCCTGCACGTTGCAACCCCAGCTTCGATTTTTTTTACGTTAGATAATGTCTATTAACATGCATCAATTGATAAGTGAGGCATGTGCAATGTATTCAGCAGGTTCATGTAGCTATGGAAAGCCCGGCAAGTGATTGGTCAAGATTAAATTGGCTACCACTTGCAGAAGACGATGCATCGGAGGCCATTCTCTGTGTAACATTAAAGTAAGATACTGGGGCTTATTTTAAAAAAATATATTCCGGAGCCCAAACTCCGAACTGGAGACATTTCCCAGAGCTTTGCCCCAGACAGCTCCGGCTGAAATCAAGCCCTGCTAACAGACCATGCATGGCCTATACCCAGGCATTATTTTATTAAAGGGGCAACTCCCGTTGCTGTACACTACCTAATATCTCAGAATTGTTTGATTGAATTAACTTTTCATTTGCCCCATCCTATATGGGCGCTACCAGCAAACGGGCACGATCACGGCCTTGGGGCGTTGGCAGGGCCTTGTGGTATAGTAAGTTCGCCACTCTGCAGAGTTTCACGGTTCGAATGCGGCACAGGAGGTGTTTTAACCGTATTAAAAGGTGCCATCTGCTTCGCCGTGAATGTAAAAAAAAATGCTGTTATGTCATTCGAAATGAGTATGCAATTGTATGTTAGTGTTGTCCAAACCAGCAACATTTGTAAAAATTACTGAATTGGGATTACACAGCGTCTTTGTGATTGCCTTGCCCTTTAAGAATGGCACAGACACCAATGTACTGAATTATTCTTTATTATGATCAGCCAAGTGCTTTAACTTTAACAACCACTGTATGCCTGCTGTGTATATCATAATGCCAATTCATTCCCTTCCTCTGTCTAGATCTGCACTACATATTAAACATTTTAGCACCATTTGTTATCCTCTGCCCAAGACTACAGACCGACTGAACTTTTTATCGATACAGCTAGTGTTGGTGCCACATCTGTTGAAGTTGGGCTTCATCTCGAATACTTAATTTACTTAATCTGCCAGCCCTTCTATTTGAACCGCTGGTTTAATGAAGTAATGTTGTATTAAGATACTACGGTACGGATGACATCACCACCAGGGGATGTGCCAACCCACTTGCTGGTCCAGTAGGGTACAGCCCATGAGGTCCTGACACGATGGTGCTGGGTTTGGTGGGCGACATTAAATTAGTGTCACGCTGCTGTGCCTGGTATCATGTGTGTGCGCACGCGTGTCGACTCCTGAACTGCATTTGCCTCGGCCGGTCGGCGCTCGTCAGCCCCAGAAGCGGAGCCGTGGCGGCGATGGTGCCGTGGGCGCGAGATCCGAGGACTGCAGGAAGAGGCGGTCAAGGCCCAGCGTGAAGAGGCAGTATAGGTTGTAGCAGAGCATGGCGAGCGCCGGAACGAAGACGAGGCTGAACCCGAAACCCCGGCATCCAGGGCACAGCACACAGCTCAGCAGGTACACCAGCCTAGATGAGATACAGCACACAGCTCAGCAGGTACACCAGCCTAGATGAGATACAGCACACAGCTCAGCAGGTACACCAGCCTAGATGAGACACAGCACACAGCTCAGCAGGTACACCAGCCTAGATGATATACAGCACACAGCTCAGCAGGTACACCAGCCGAGATGAGATACAGCACAGCTCAGCAGGTACACCAGCCTAGGTGAGATACAGCACACAGCTCAGCAGGTACACCAGCCTAGATGAGATACAGCACACAGCTCAGCAGGTACACCAGCCTAGATGAGACACAGCACGCAGCTCAGCAGGTACACCAGCCTAGATGAGACACAGCACGCAGCTCAGCAGGTACACCAGCCTAGAGATACAGCACACAGCTCAGCAGGTACACCAGCCTAGATGAGATACAGCACGCAGCTCAGCAGGTACACCAGCCTAGAGATACAGCACACAGCTCAGCAGGTACACCAGCCTAGATGAGATACAGCACACAGCTCAGCAGGTACACCAGCCTAGGTCAGATACAGCACAGCTCAGCAGGTACACCAGCCTAGATGAGATACAGCACACAGCTCAGCAGGTACACCAGCCTAGATGAGATACAGCACACAGCTCAGCAGGTACACCAGCCGAGATGGCACAACACAGCTCAACAGGTACATCAGCCTAGATGAGATACAGCACACAGCTCAAAAGGTACATCAGCCGAGATGAGATACAGCACACAGCTCAACAGGTACATCAGCCGAGATGAGACATCACACTGCTGAGCATAGAAGACTGCATACAGCGCTCACATCCGTATAGGACATCAGTCTGCATGAAAATTTCACAGCGCCACGATAAATCTGAGACATGGGTCTAAGATTTATCGTACTTTTATGTGTCAATACAATCTCCATCACGGACAAATTCAACCTAACGATGGGATTTGCTTAAAAACTCCACGATCGTTTCTTTGGCAGCTTAATTGGCATGTTATGCCAGGCATTCATGCATCGGTGAAAGTTTATTATACATCTGTCAACAACTGGCGAAAACATAATTTAACACGTAAAATAATAAATAAGCAACAAAGGGTCTGTTTAACCCTATTGAAATAAAATAACATTTTGGTGAACCAGTTTATGAGCCTCCTGGACCAAAGTTTTCCAGCAACATTTCTTTAACATTACGCAGTTGGACGTACAGTACTGTATTTTCATTGCCTGCACATACGTTTCATTTTCATCTAATTTTTTCGCGACAATGTGCGATGTCTCCATTACGTACAATGGGGGCAAATCGCCAAAACGATTTGCTGCAGCCATTTCATCGAGATGGGAATCTGGCCCACAATCTTTTAAAATCAAATGGGAGCCCAAGAGAGCCTCTCTTGTAATAAGCCACTGGGCTCAACATGTCTTTTTTTACCCAACAGTCCTTGGGTTGGCAGGAAAGAGAAATCACTGCAGGATGCATGGAAGCAGACACTATGTGTGTGTAGATTGTATATGCCAAACACTCACTCACTGATGAAATTGGACAAACATCCCAATGCAGGACACTTCAGAAAAAAAGGAGTCTTGGAACTCAGGAAGGCTATCACATTTGGTATCCAGGGCTGATTTTCAGATTTATATTAATCTCAAAATTAGGGCACATCCCTCACATGCAGTATACTGACGAGAGATGGGCAGTTTCTAAATGCAAGCAATTTAATATTCCCCATCCTTTTTGTAATTTTTTTGTTATATTTTGTAATTTTTAATTGGTAATGTATTTCTAAATTGCAAAGGACACCGTTTATAATGTTTATATACACTACATCACTGGAGTAATTTTTTATGAATTTTACAACATTCAATTCGCACACACTCCAGCGTTGTAGATATGATTACGCAACAACGGTTGAGCTGGCTGAGACGTGTGTGCAGGACAAGTGAGCGCCGATCGCCGAGGCAGGAATTTGGGACAGTCTCCGTTAATCTGGCGGCCAAGGCGGAAGACCTAGGAGCAGATGGTGGGAAACTGTTAGGGAAGACCTTTGAGGTCGTGTATCTACTGTGCAGCAGCTGCCAGATCTGGCGGAACATAGCGTTGCCAAGCTGCGGTGCCATCAACGGCTCACGGCCATTGGTGACATCTCGAACCTGTGACCTTCGCCCACAATCCTCGACCAACGCACCTCCCGATGGCGAAGAGAGCGGCGAGGCTGGGCAGCACCTTGAGGTCGGCCTGCTGCAGGTAGGAGGCGAGCACCAGCAGGTTGAGCAGGTAGAGGAGCAGCTGCTCGGTGGAGCCGGCGGCGTGGCGTCCCCACGTGTTCACCCCGCGCTCCCGCTCGGCGCGACGCCCCGGCGAGCCTCCCGAGCAGGCGCAGAGCCGCACCACGCCCTGCGCCAGGACACCTGGGGCGACACGGGGTGAACGTGCGTGCAGGTCGGCAGTTCGCTCGCCAAAGCTTGTTTTATTTCCACCCCTCCGCCACCCCCCCCCCACCGTGGGTGGTGTAGTTACACATTGACGTGCCACAAAAAAATGTCTCTGCGGCGTGCACGAGAAAGTGGAAATGTACGTATGTACGTTGGAACTTCTTTCGCACCGTCCGCAGCCAACGCGTGCTAATCGGAGGTGCGGGAAATGGTGGCATAGTCTTGAGAACAACTGACGAGAGAGGAGAGATAAAGAAATAAGCTGAGGAGCGGAGACCGAGAGAAGGGGAACGGAGCTGTGGGCAACAGCGGAAGAGGTGGTCGGATTAAAGCGTAACAATACAGATGCCGCTGCTGGACAGGAGCGACAGGGTAAAGAGAGGAATTGAAGGAAATGGGGCAAACCCTTTGCTCAGCGGTGGGAAGTTAGGGCTGACAACAATGCCAACAACAGGCGTGAAATGCATTGTGGGAAGCAGAGAGCTGTGCAGCAAACCCCACTGCTGTGCTGCCACGTCTACGCTCCCCTGCTTTGCCAACCTACACACTGACCAGCGTTGTGCAGGGTTACCAAATGACCCCCCTATGATCCACACATCACAGGGAAGCCCTCATCCAGCAGTGAGTTGATGACAGGGCTGTACATTTACAACATCGATGGATGCGTGACTACTCGGTTTGTAACCGTTCAACTGGAAGCTGAATAAATTGTCACGATTCAGTGTCATGCTTCTATTCAATATTGAATCGTTTGGTCTAATTTGTGTAGCCTGTCTTGTATGTTGTGTCTCGTTTGCTCTGTCTTGTTTGTCATAAACAAATGGGTATGTTTGCATATGATTTACATAAATAGTAAATAACCAATTGCACAAATCCATGTCAATAACTCCGTACTTAAGGGCTGTGTCATCAATGACACAGCCCTTAAATGAATAAAAATATGATAGGCGTCATTCGTGCAAAGGCGCTTCTATCATAGCAGAGAGATGAAGGGCCATTGCCTGAAACGTCGCCTTAAAGTTTTTTTTACTCTTATTTACGAATGCATTAAGCTTTTGTTAATTTTGCATGTGCGCCACTGCCAATGAAGTATCACAATTATTTTATCCACAATATATGCATCTCAAGCTTTAGTTCGTTGAATAGATTTAGTCCAAAAGGTAGGGAGTAATACAAATGGAAGTTTGTTGGCTCTAAGGTCTTTAAAAGTAATACCATTTTGTTAAGAACGGGGGGTGGGCACTGGCACTCAGTTGCATCTTGTAATGAGCCACGGTAGCCTTGCTGCCCACCCCCCCTCTGCTGAGCAGAGCAAAGGCTAAAAGTCAAGAGAAATGCAGCGTGTGACTGGAAGCTTCTTGCGTCAGTAGTAGTAGACTTGCTCGCTCTCCTTCTCTGAGCTCAAACCCATGTGGCCACATTTGAGATATCGAGTAGATGACACGAGATATGATGAATTATACTCTTGTCCAACTGGAACAAGCAGTTCCACCTGGTAGAAAGGCCAACACCTGCAAATAATGAGTATAACCAAATCGCAACAGGAAAGCGCGTGCAGGCTGTTGGGATTGTCAAATTGTTCAACTCTTCGTATTGGTGGTCTATACAACAATATGGGCAGATGTTTAGCTCCTAAGCTGGTGGTCCGCATAAGGCTGAGAGCTTTGTACATGCAATGTGGTGATCACATGACATGCAAGGCATGATGGGAATTGTGGCTTCCTGCTGCTGTGTGTGTTATTAAATATAGTGATTATGCAAGGCTGGTCCCCGCTGAAAAAATGTGGAAATTATTAATTTTCCTCAAAACCTTGATCAAATATAAGCACAGCCCAGAGCTTGTTTAAACACAAGGTCAATATAACTTTTGATGACACACCATCTAATGTAGCACCAACCCTTTGTAAGGTTTTGCACCGATCACACTCCTAACTCCGAGCAAATGGAAAGCCATTCTCATGTATGGATTTTTTTGTTGCTCTGAGCTATCAGAGTAAATTTAAAAGAAGCAGGACTCAGATCTAGTTCTATAACTGGACCGTTACATTTTACAATATATTTCAAATGGAAGAATATGTCCCATTAAGGATAAAAGTGTGTCTTCAGGCTCATGTATAGAACAGAAGATTAAAATACAAATATCTGAACATTACATGATAAGACTCAGATATACACAACATTTGTATTATATTACATGTCCTGACATGCTGCATCATGAGACATACATATACCAAACCGAGATTTAAACAAACAAAAACAATGTATAGCCTGGCGTGTCGCGTCGACCATGCAGAGTGCAGGCCTCGCACTCACCGAACACTGTTGGGAAGAGCGTAAAGAGGCCACAGCGCAGCGCGTACACCATGCGGCTGGCCAGGTCCGGGCACACGGGCGCCTCGTAGGGCAGGTACTCGTAGGCGGCAAAGAGGGCAGCGGGGGCAGCGAGCACGGCCAGTAGCACCGACACCACGGCCTTCGCCTGTGCCCTCACCGCCGAGTGTCCGCAGCAGCGGCAGCAGCAGCAGCCGCTCCGCTTACGGCGCCCGCAGCGCGATCCTCCTCCTCCGCTGCCACCGCCGCCGCTGCACCCTCCACGTCCTGCTCCTCCGAGCTTCCCTGCGGCCCCGTCGCACGCCGAGGGGGCTTCGGCCGCTTCCAGGCACGCGGCGCCGCCGTCTTCACACGCCAGGCTGCCGCGAGACGACGGCCGACCTGAGAGGCCCGCGACGAGCGTCTCGCCGTCGGAGGAGGACGACGGGCGCAGCAGCGGCCGCGTCTCCGGGCTCCCGGGGACGCCCTCCCGCCGCGCGTGCAGCGGAGACGGCGACAGGTCGCTCTCCGTTTCCGGCTCGGCCGTGCAGGCGACGCGCCCCGGCCGCTGGTCCGCGAAGCTTTTCAGCGGCAACACGGTAACCTGGTGGCCGCCCTGGCCCACCGCGCGGCCCGGCCCATTCCCCGCGGTGGGCACCGAGCCGTTGGAGCGCAGGCCGGATCTGTCCGCCGACGTTCCCCTGCCGCTGCTGCTCGACCCGGCCATCGACGAACGCTTGGAGGGGGCGCCGTCCTCCTTGACGCCGTGGCGCGCGGGGTCCTGCGGGTGGGACTCCAGGAGCTCGGTCTGGGACTCGGACGACTTGGGCCGGCACTCGGACGGTGATTCCAGAGCGGACATCGACGAAGAGGTGGAGGACGAGGCCGAGGAGGATGGCGAGGATCGCAGCTCGTCCAGGGAAGAGCCGAGGCTCTTGGAGGCCGGGACGACCGTGATTTGCGTGTCCAGGTCGAGGAAGGGCGCAAAGGAGAGGCCGCCCGCGTCGTCGCCCTCACCCAGCTGCCCGATGATGTCCGCGATGGACTCCTTCACTCTCTCGATCTGCTTTAGGTCCTCGGCCAGGCCAGCAGTAGATGGGCACGGCGGGCTCGCCATGACCCCGGACTGCATGCGGGGCCCACGTCTAGAAACCTATGCAGGGAACCTTTCAAAGGGGAGAAAGAAATCCAGTGTGGGCAGTGTCTTCTGCGAGTCATAACGTTAAATGGTGATCGTTGGTTACACTGCAGACATCGTTATAAGTGTTCTCCATACGATCGTCCTGCTCAACTCAGCATGTTCATTATTTTTTTAAATTTAATTTCATAGTATCTTTAGTTTCCGTGAGAATTTTAATGTGCGTGAGATATGGCGACAACTTGGGGAGCAAGCAGTGGATTGATCATGGCTGATGATGATGACTACCTTTAATTTGCTTACCACATGTATTCCATATTACTCTTAATTTTCTGGTTCAATGAATGTATACAGTCAATAACAGGTTGTTTAAAAATAACAGAAACGTTCTAAATCAAGATCACAAACAGTTGAAACAGTTCCTGAAAAAGTGAAGTCAAAACATTGAGATATTCTCTCTCCTTTCCTCCCATTGAAAAGTAGAAACCTCATTATATATATTTTTTTATCAATGTCTGATTCTATATTGTAAAGGGATAACGACACATCGCACATATTTTTCGTGCAGTATTATGTTAAACTTTGGATATCCACATAGCTGCCAAAGATCCCTCTGGGCAAATCTGCCACATGCCAAAAATGGGAACTGCGATGATAATGGAGAGAAAGGAAGAACACTCCCGACGTCTTGGCCTCCACAGTGGCAGAATATTTGGAGGATCGAGCTGCCACGGTTCAGTGAACGTCTCGCTATCACAATGTAACGAAACGGCCCCTCCGTGTGGTCTAATTTTCCCGATCTGTGTCCGCGCTGGGAGCATGAGATTCGTTTTATTTTGGAGCCGCAATTTCCAACCTCGTGTTGGGCCCCAGGCTCGGTGCACCTGCGACTTCGTTTTTTGATCAAAACAGACGTCATCTGGAGTGCGTTACAAACGCATGGGCTGGAAAGGGGTCCTGGACTAGGAACTCCCACGCAACTTTCATGTGGTCAATGTCCAACCCACGTTCGAAATCTCAGATGAGAGATCAAAACAGAACTTTCTTTTGCTGCCAGCCAATAGTATATTTTTTTAAAGATGTCTGTTTTTTTCCAGTTGACATATTGTTGAGATCAGCCATGCAGAATTTGTTTTTTTCCCTTGTCAGTAAAATGCTTATAATTACAAAGAATAGTATTTTGTTAATGCAATTACTAATTAAGTTGTTGCGTATACAGTATTAATTGCAAGTGTTTTGTTTGTACGTCTATGTACCATACAAATACCATTTTCTCACGGGATTTATTGTTAAATCTTGTTTTGTATTAGCCATTTTTATATTTGTACATATACATCAATTTGGTCAATCCACTGCTGGATGAGAGCCTCCTCATGCCATGTGATTTATGGGCGTTATTTTGCCATACATTAGTGTGGGTTGTTAGTCTGGGTTGTTGAAGGCAAGGAACACAGATTTTTGGCGCATGTCTTTTGCTGAACTTCCCTCTGCTGTCCACAACTTAGCCCCACAGAAGCCTATGTGCTTGCATCCCTTTGTATGCAGGATGGCGGCCGCCACACCCGAGCAGTATCCAGGGTCCAAACTGCTTATTCAAATACCTGAACGAAATCGAATGCATTGCGAGTGATCGGGCATAGCCGTGGTTATTCTTATCATTTCACAAACAAACGTTTGCTTTCTGTCCAAACGGGAATGACCGTCCTCCAATTCGATCCATCAGAATTATTTACATCCAGGAGCGCTGCTGCCCTCTGCGCCCCAGTGCGCTGACTTATGAGTCGCTGCGGGTGCGTGAATTTCCTTGTCTCTCCTGACCCGTGGTCTGGATGACCACGAGGATCCCCGTGGATTCATTGGCCAGGGTTGTGACGGCCACGCTCTCCCCACCAGACGTCAATGGTCGTCTTTCGAACGACCCCATTCCTTCATCCCGCAGATTTAAACCATTGCTTTTTATTAAATATATATTTTTAAAACAACATGTGTACATATCCCCCCGGTTGCATCTCGCAATGTGCTATCGGCATCACGTCACGAAACGAAAGTATCCAATCGGAACTCGCGCACAGCAGTGCATCCCCCCCCCCCTCGTGCTCGTGAGCGTCCCACAGAAGCGGATTGTCATAGAGCTTCACTCTGTATACATCACGGTGATGCGTTTTTTTTTGTTACATGACAGCCGAACCAAATATGTTTTATTCTCAGAGCTGGAATTTAGGCAAATTAAGTGCAGGACCAAATTTACTGTGATCATTGGTGACTGGGTTGAGACCGTCAACTCGCTATATTCGATAACCTGGTCTAAGCGCAAGCAGCTGCTAGGATTCGAACCCAGGACTCAGCTCTGACGTTTGAGCCACCTGGCCACCGGTGATTTATTACATTTTAAATGATGGCGCAGTGGTTAGCGCACTTCGCTCTGAAACCGGTGACCCGACTTATATTCCCAGCCATGGACAACAACCGTGGCGAGTGAATTATGAACTTATCCAGGCCCCCCCCCCCCATGCACCAACTCGCAGTGACCAGCATGTTGAAGTATGGTCAAATAACCATCATAGCCGACACAGCATGGGGAGCATTTTGTACCGGAGCAGCTGTACAATAAGGCCTGTTACAAAAACTATTTTCCGTCTCATTACTCTAGCCATTGGTCGTCCAACCACCACAATGGGTGATGGACAGAGTGCAATCCCAACCCCCTCTTCGCCTTGTTCAAACACGCGCTGCTGTGCACTCTCTGATAATAATCGCTCAATACCTTTTGCTTTGGGACTCGCAGATGGCAGTGAGGCGGTGGTTGCATTCAACATTTTTTTTGCCCGCCGTCCGTGGGTCAGGCCGTGCCCTCTCAAATTAAAAAAAGCAAACATCGGTGGGGAATTTTGTACTGCAGGTTTCCCGGTGTATTAATCCTTTTATACTTGCTACATTTGTGGGTATCGAGTTACTATTGTGTAACGACAGACAAACATTTGAACAAATCACGAATAGTAGGATTTCCCAGACGAGCAACGTTGCCCTGCCGAGCTACCCAGCCAGCGCAAGCTGCAGTCTATCGTCGGCACCAACTTTCATTTTTAAGTTTTACGGGAAGGCGTGGGTGGTGGGACACCACACACACACACCAGCCCCCACGAATGCAAAGCAGATGTTCAACCCCCTGTAGGTCGTCAGATCACTATTAAATACCCTTATGCTAATAAACACATTCTCATTTGGCCGTTTATGGAATTATTTGGCTGTTTGGAGAGCTTACGTTTGTATTTTGTTTAAGCAACCACAGCACGTGTGTGTGTGTTTTGGCTAAACGCTCGTCTAAAATGCTACAGAATTTCAAATATTGTATGGCTGGGAGGACGCCATGGGATTCATCAATGTCCCGTGTAATGTAACCCTGTGTGATTTGCATTCGTATGATGCTATTGAATGGTATGTTAATTAGTGCAGGGGGTTGACCATACTCGCCATACTGGTCAATGCGGTAGGTGAAGGAAGTAGATTTTGTCTTACCGAGTGCCGGACTGGTACTGGTGCTGCTACCAGGGCAGCTACTCGGGTCTACAAGGCTCTCAAGCCTCTTTCGCCCCGGCAAAGCCAATGCTCCGTTGAAGATGTGATAACTATGACCATGATGATGATGTTAAATATTATCCAGAGGGGTGACAGTTATTGAGAAAAAGCTCAGCGCATACCCAACTTAATGTCTTGACTGAGAGACCGTGTCACTGAGTGTGTCTGAGCAAAAGAAGGACTTCTTCTAGATCAGCTCAGCAGTAAATGAAAGCAACAACACTGCTAGCACTCCGGAGGACAAAGTTGTGATTCGGGACACGCAGATGTTCTGAGTTTAGAAACAAGTGCGCGCCAATAGCGTGCGCTTGTGAGATGCGTGCGGTAAGTGTGTGAGCGGCTGAGCGCGCTCCCTTCACTTCAACAGTGCAGATTACCGAGGATTCCAAATAACCCACACCACATCATTTTATATCCATTGCGTGCTGTGTATGACGAGGCCATGCCTGCCTTTTAACGCTGCGCTGTTTTGAATTCACGTTTGCACCAAACGATGGGCATGGAAAATGCAATTTCCAAATGGCTTCTGAACAGATGGCTTCTCTGGACAATGCGTTTCTCGAAAAGAATTGCAGAATGTTTTTTTTTTCCCCATTGGCACTGAGCAGCTCAAAACACCACAGCTCATCCACACATGACTGTGGTGGGTGCCAAGCACTGGATCTTGGACTCTACAATAATTAAATAAAAAAACACAACCACAAATCCAGTGTCCTCCCCAGGCAAAGCTGTTGTTTGGGCATGTTTCGATAGAAGTGTATCCAGACACGGTTGCGTTTTCGGGTCTTTAAATCGAAAGCCAGCCACCTCCAGACACAACATTACTCTGCGGTGGACAACCGACTCTTAATACAAAACATACTCTGATTATTTTTTCCAATCCCGTTGAGCTGCTTTCAATTACCTTCTAACGTTGTGTTGACGCCACACCGGCTGTGCGGTGGCCAGGGAACATCTCGCCAGGGGTGTAGCGATTCATCGATTCTGAAGTTTCGTCAAACTTCCATGGAATGACAGATATAATCGTCGATGATTTTCACTTCATGCCAGTGACGCACTCGTGTTGCATTGCGGCTCGTGGAAAAGAGAAAGTGGCACAAACGAAACGGACACAAGCGAAGAAGCACTGCAGAAAAAAATGTCAAAAACTTGATTTATGAATCGAATCATGGACGAGACTCCTCACAATGGTTTTAACTGCCAGTGGAGGAATGGGAGTTAATGTTTACGCCCCGAGCGAGCATCTATATTGAACCAGTGTGGGGTATGGATGGGTATTGTGCCTGGAGTAAAGCCACGTGCTAACCAATAATAATCATACAAGGCCTCTTTGTCAGTCCACTGCTGGATGACTGGAAACTGAACTCAGGCAGCCGGGTTAAACGTGCAATACCGGTAATAACGTCGCTCTGTGTAACCAGATACGATTTCATTAAGACCAACAGCTAAAAT